GGATGGTTTGGGAGATGATGGTTTGGTGTTTGGGGGTGGGGTCATGATCAAGGGGACAGTAGGAGGAGGTGTTGGAGAGTTGGTGTCTGGCCTCGGCGATGTAGAGGTCAGTGTGCCATACTACAACGGCGCCTCCCTTGTCCGCCGGTTTTATGGTGAGATTGGGATTGGAGCGGAGGGCTGCACGTTCTGCAGGGGAGAGGTTGGAGTGGGTGAGAGGGGTGGAGAGGTTAAAGCGATTGATGTCACGACGGCAGTTGGAGATGAAGAGGTCGAGGGAGGGTAGGAGGCCTTGGGTTCTGTGTTTTCTTGTGTTTGGCAATAGAATGAAAGGAACTTTCGTTAGAACATTACTCACTTTGAGACACATTTTACAACTTTGCACCATCTCTTTATTGCTTCTAGCTGTGCTCAAAACACTGGCTTGGCCTAGCAAAATATTGGCTATACGTTATCCTGTTTCTTGCTTTCAGCATCGTAATGTCTAAATTTTTATCTTAGTTCTTTTTGCTCAAAGACCACTTTGTACTATCTCAGTTCTTCCTCAAAGACAGGCTGATCCCTACTGTATTCAACTTGGTCCAGACTAACTGCATCTGCATAAGTCATGTTCTTCCAATCAGGGAGACTTTGTTCTCTCTTACCACCAATGGCAAGCAAAAGGACATTTCATAATATTTTGTTCTAACATTAACTTTTCCTAACATTGGAATACAGTTATTAGAAAATCCATTCAGTTTCACACCAGTTTTGCACTAGGAAATGTAACTCTGGGATCTCCATGTACTCTCGTGCTGAAATAACAGATGTGGCTCCACCTGTATTAAAGCTGCAAGCAAGTTATTATTCTCCAGCATCTGTTTCTACGGTGAATGCTGGAATTCATCTTCAACCCTACCACTCTCATCTCCCATGGTCTGTTTTCTTTGCCCTCTACTGAGATACCACTCCTGGATCTCTTTGCTTGCTGCTATTATTTTTCTTTCCACATGTACCATGCGCACGTTTTGAGGATTTCCATCTGCTGAACTAGATTGAGATCTACCATGACTTCAGCGGTGCTTAGCTTTGACTTGGATCTTTCCCAAAACTTGGAGCATCACTCTTTCTCCTATTCCTTCATGCCATCTGGCTATGAGCGACTTTCCCAAATGTGAAGTCCTTCGACTGGGAATGGAGGCATTTAGATGGTTAGTGGCTACTGTGGCAACATAGCACCTAAATTTCTGACTCCTGGGCTGTTAACTTGGATCTCTCTGAAATCTGGAGAACCTTCACTGCTGGATAAGCAAAAGAAAAATTCCCTTGCAATCATGATGCTGTCTAAGTTGCACAGCTGCAGATTGGTGTGCGGAGTCATTCAGTTACATTTCTGGAAGCCGCTGCCACGCACTGACCTCAGAAATTCATGCAGTGAGAGGAACAATTAGAAGGAATGTAGCTTGCAATTTGTAACTGTGCCTTTCTGCAACTTCTGTCGCTGTGCTTCACTGCGGGTCTTCTTCCATGGCTTGGCCTAGCTATGTGACAAGCTTTGTCTTATTACGAACTTGTACTGAGGGTAAATTTCTAAGTTATGCCAAACCCATAGTGATGAGACAGTTTCTTTAACACAAGAATGTAATTTTCAAGAGTCTGCTTTGCTAACTGCCTTCTTTCACACAATATAATTCTCAATATAGCTTCATTCCTGGGGTGCCATGGTTCAGAATCTTATTAATTTCAGAATTTTAGATTTCTTCATAGAATCCCTACAATGTGGAAGCAGGCCGTTTGGCCCATTGAATCCACACCGACCCTCCTCTGAAGAGCATCCCACCCCCTACCCTATCCTTGCATTCACCATGACTAACCCAGCAGCCTGCACATCCCTGGACACTACAGGCAATTTAGCATGGCCAATTCACCTAACCTGCACATCTTTGGACTGTGCGAGGAAACCAGAGCACCTGGAGGAAACCCACACAGAAACAGGGAGAATGTGCAAACTCCACACAGACAGTTGCCCGAGGGTGGAATTGAACCTGGGTCTCTGGTGCTGTGAGGCAGCAGTGCTAACCACTGAGCTACTGTGCCACCCATCTTAGTGTTTGCATCTGACCATATCATGGTGAGAAAAATATTTACTTTATCCTTTTATCTCCTGTATTATTTGCTTTCAGCCTAATGTATACCTTCATTTTGTAATTACATAAATCCCTCTTTCTTGGGGTTGAATTCCTCCATTGACTCCAACAATGTCTTCATATTGTCCTGACTCACTGTGTACCTCAATATAATATACACATGGAGAAGTCTTTCACATTGCTCAAATCTCTTCAAAATCAAGTTTGGGGTTCCGAAAATTTGCAAAATATTCTTCCATCCTTAATCACTCCTTAAAATGTTGAAAAAAAATTCTATTCAATCCTTGTTGTCATCTTTCTGATATTTTTGATGTATATTAGTCTGAAGAAAGAAAATGGATTCAGAGCAGGCTGGTCATCAATTAATTTTATTTCTATCTCCGCAACCCAGAGCAGTGTAACAAAGAGTCATGGGTACCCAAGACCCTTCATACTTCCTATATCTTTCTACCCATTTCCATGGCCCCTCATAACCCTGTGCCTCTCTACCCATACAGTATGACCCCTCACAGCAACATTGTGTCTCCTTTCATGCACCACCCAATGCCCTTTCATCTACCATACAAGCTCCAGGATAAAAAAAAATAAGGCTGTATCATCTCAAATTCTATACTGCACAACATACTCCATTCATAAGAACACTCCCTTTCATAAAAACACATTTTGAAGCTTCTTGACACTTTGACACTTGTTGACCTGTTTTGATAATTCTTGATAGATCGACAGGTTCTTTACAGGTTTACCAGTTCCAAGGAGTTTGTGCATAAAAGGAAATAATCATCTCACCAGTTAACAATTACTCAGGGTACCTGAACCTTCCCCAACATACTTAAGGATCCCTGAATATCCCTCTTGCAGTATACCTGACAGCATCCCTGCCCCACAGGAACCTCTAATCCCAAAGAGTCCGGGGACCATATCCCTCGGATACTTCAACTCTCCAAAAAGAATCCTAACTATCAGAAGAATAGGCCTGCCCTGAGCTTGACAGCTATGTGCATTGTATTTCGTGCAACAGGGCTAACAAAATGGGATTTAAATTGGGACAGCTCATCTGTTAAATAGCCAGCTGCCTCTGGAGTGTGTGTGTGTGTGTGGTGCAGCCTGAGCCACTCCCACAGAAATGGGAAGTACCCTGTCTGAGGATAGGATTTGTGATTTCTGACCATTTTCACTGTACTGGATAGCCTGCCTGATATGGTGAAAATCTCGGTCAAAGTCCGTTCGAAGCACTTGATATGAAGGAAATGGATGAGAAAATGTTTTCGATGTTTTTGAGAAAGGGTTTACTCCTGTCATGTTGGCCGACTTTGCTTGCTCAGTGTCTCTGGTATTATCTGTTTCTTGTTCTTAACTTATTATAGTAAGCTGACTTCTAAAGTAAAATGGAATTTCTAATTTTGCGTCAGTTTTGGCTGTGGGGGTAGCCTCTGAGTCTAAAGGCTGTAATCCTAATCCAAAAACATGACTGTAAAATTTAGTCTGATACTTCGTGGCTGTACTGAGTGACAGCTACATGTTAGCAGATGAGCTGCTAAACTGAGGCCCTGTTGACCCTTTATGGTGGATTTAAGCTATGGATTTAAAGAAGAACAAAGAAAAATTCCTGCTGAACAGGCCAACATTTATTTTTTAAGTCTCTCCTTAAATATACGGCAAATTCAAAATGTGGCAGATGTTGGAAATCTGAAATTAAAATAAAGCCCTGAAGAAACTCAGCTGGTCTTTCAGCGTCTGTGCAGAGGGAAACAGTTCTAATAGAATCCTAGAATTTTACAGTACAGGAGGAGGCCATTTGGCCCCTGAAAGAGCTACCCAATTAGTCCCACCCTCCAGCCCTGATAGAATCATCAAATTTTGGAATAGAATCATGTTTCATGTCCAGCATGACTGTTTTGGAATTGAAGAGAGATGGAATAGTGATGGATATATTACTGTAGGGAAAGGTGATGAGAAGCATGTGGACTAGAAGGAAAGATCAGTGCAAGGTTAGAGGGTTGGAGAGATCAAAGGTGTCACAGAACAAAAGGCAAAGGGAGCACTAATGGTTGTAGAGAATAAACAAGGCATAGATCCAGACTAGGTGTTAATAGTAGGTATAAAGAGCAGAATTTAGATCAGTTCTCACTGAAAGCAGAAGGAAACAAGATACAGATGCTGAGGTTATGAGGTAGAATATCAAAATGGAGGATAGTACAATCTAATTGTTTATTGTGTTGCTGTTTGTGGGAAATTTAATGTGAAAATTGGCTGCCACATTGCCTACAAAACAACATTGCCAATTAACTGATTTTAATTCATAATCAATGAGAATATGAAAAATGCTACTGAATAAATTTAGGACTCTCTTGGTTTAAAAGGTTTGCTGTCTAAGCTGCTTTCCTGTGCAGTGAGGGATTGGAGCTTTGTTGGGTGTCCATAAAACTTTGCATGAGCAACAGTCCCTCTGACCAAATGCCAAAGAAACATCGATGAGTTTTTATTTGAAGAAGGAGTTCTAAGGAGGGATCACTAGATCCGAAATGTTAATTCTGCCTTCTGTTCACAAATGCTGCCGGACCTGCTGAATGTTTCAAACAATTTCTGTTTTTGTTTGTGATGAGTTACTTTGGCCTGCCACGCAGTTTCATTCCCATTTGGAGTAAATTGGAAGGTTTGTGTGCATAGAGTCGCTATATAAATGCAGACTGTCAAATTCAAACCTGTGGTCAATGTCCACATCTGTGGCAGACTGGATGTAATGGACTGTTTATTAGTTAAAATGCAAACTAAAACTGCTAACTAATTAGAAACTGTACATCTTGAAATATTAATATTAAATATGAAGCAAAGATAATGATGCTAAAATTGACATTTTTTGTGATTCTTACACAGGGTATGGGTGGGCAGCTTTATTACTTTGGATTGTGGATTGATAGCAATTATGGTGAAGGACACAGCAAAGCAAAGCCCACGTGTACTACTTACAACAGTCCACAGTTGTCTGCCCAAGAACATTTCACAATTGACACTCTGGAGGTATGGAGTGTGGGGAATCCTCCTGATGATCAACTGGTGAGTTATAACCCTTATTCTAAAAAAGGAAATCGATACATTAATGTCTGGTGCCCATTGATATTATTACTGATTTTCTTCAGGAATTGCAGGTTTAAGAGTGATTAACTTAAATGGAAAGAGAAAGATCAGCTGAATCCAGTCAGGTGATGTTCTAGTGAACATTATTTCAGTCCCTTTACAATCCAATTATATAGCAATATGTGTTCAGAATAAACATCAAATCTCCTTGAGGAAAGAAAAAATGGGATTGCAAACTTTTCTCCTTCCACGCTAGAAGTCTCTGTTAAATCTTCAGGACTTCTGCCAGATGTTCCTGTATTTGGATATGGATTTGCTTCCGCATGTGAGGAGTTGTGAGCAGTGCTTGAACATTTTTAAAATTTTGATAATTCACTAGTTTTCCAGAAACAACACTTGATTGACGTAGCATCCAGTAAGTGAAACAATCTGACCAGAAGCTAAGCAGCAGTTCAAGTATTTTTCACCACATTCTTAGAACTGTTTTTGAACCCATACCAAAATAAATGAAACAATGGCATTTTGAGCTGTGTAGAAGTTGTGTTTTACTTGTAATAGTTACCAAGGGAAACCTATGAAAGGTTTTCTTTGTAAATAATCTATGATGTTTTACCCAAAATCGTGAATTAAGTGATGTAAGTATCAAGTTCTCTTTTTATGAAGGATTATATCTTTATTAGTGTACTGGCAAGAAAGTCTGTCCATTTGTTTTCAGACATCTTGCTCATAAATGGTCAGATACGTCAACCAACTACAAACTAATATTTCTTGAACATGTAAGCAAAAGTTGTGTGGTTAGGTGTATTTAGTTTGATGAACATGCACACAAAAGTAGGGTCACCAAAGTTGCAGACTTTGCATCTTATTTAAGTGTTTAAAGTTGCTCACCTTTCTGTAATGTCAACGTTCTGGAGAAGGAATGTGGGAGGTAGTTGAGAAAAATGCCACCTTACATCTTTAACAAAATCTCTTCTGCTTTGCAGTGTTTTATGACCAGTTCTATTTATCTTGAATCGTACTTGCAAAGATCAAGACAAGTTGTATGGCTCTTAGTAGACACCTTTTAGAGCACTTTATCCACCATCATCGCTCTCTTTATCTTTCATCCCCACTCCCTATTATTTATTCATAGTTCATTCTTAATTGCTTAATTGATTATTAGTACGCTAACAGTTGGTACTGATTACTCCACATCAGGGCAAGGATGGGAATACCTTTCTCTCCACATGGATCTGTGGGAGTTTTAAATCAGTAGAAGAGAAATAAAGGAGCAGCCATCAAAAGCTCCCAAGGGATATTTTGCAGAGTCATCTGAATAGTGATGAGTTTTGATTTTTTTTTGATAGAAAGTAAATTGAGATTATTTTTCTTTTGAAAAGAGACACACTGTGGGAAGTATGAGACAAAAATGGACCATGCATAATTTCAGTTTAATAGAATGTTTCAGTTTATTGGGGAACATAGCTGTTTATTTTCCATATGTTGCTAATTTAAGAGGGGTTGGTTGTATCAGGTATGCTCCATCATTAGTATTGGAGTATTAGCTGATTTAAAAGCCCTTCAGACCGTTTCAAAGACAAAGCTGATGCATATTTCAACTGCCTGACATAAATAAAAATTTTGCAATGTTCCTCTGATAACCGTTGCATTGTTTTCTGATTAATTTTCACTAAAGACATCTAATATAAAGAAACTGTTAAGTTGCTGGATCTATATGTAGGGGTGCTCTAGACACACAGAGGCTCAGTGTTAACCAGATGTAACGTGGCTGTTAGCTATTGTAATTGAATTTAAATTCTACAGTGTTGTGTTGTTTACCTCCAGTCTCAGTCCAAGAGTGTACTAGATTCAGAACCTGAAGCACAGGCCTTGCTGCACATGATCGGGAAAATACGAATGAGTGACGGATTACGAGATCCAAATGAGGATAAAGGGGATAAATGAAGTGTTCCCTAAATGTGAAAGCACAGAATAAACAGCACAATGTACAATAACTGTTAAATGTCACCATAATTCCTTCAAGAAAGGGACACAATTGAATTATATAAGTCTCTGGTATTTGGAGGAAGCCTTCGCTAATAAGCACGAATGCCGAATTCTGTGTCTCGAAATGGAATATTAATTAAGCATATGAATCATAATTAAAGATTTGCCCATTGTAAAAGCAAGGGTACATGAGCAACAAAGCATCTTCAACTGATTCCTAGACTGGTTTGCACTTATGACTGGAAAGAACAATGAGAAGGCTAATTCCTCTGATACTATAACCACAGAACTATTGTGTTACAAGAGAACATAGAGGTAAGATTCACTTTTTGTTATAAAGAAGGGAATTTTACTGACTTTAATGCATCTAGCCCTGCATCTTCACCCATAATCAAGCACTGAGCAGTTTTTAATTTAGGTTTATACAAAAATAGATTGTCTTAGTTAAAGCAGCTAAGAGTGCAGTGCTGTATCAGTTGAAGGCAGAAATGAATTCATACCAAACTGATATTCACCTTAGATGTAGAGTATGGTATAAGTGATTCTGTATGAGATTTGATACTTTTTCTGATTATAATCTAGATTGTTACATAGATTTAGTTGTCATTAATTTGTCACTCTGATTTATGCAGCATTAGTAACTGCAAAAGTTTGCATTATTTAATACTGCTGCAGAATGATTGTATTTTTCAATGTATGTAAATTTTCCTATGATAGTGAGTTTATTACGAATAAATTTGCGGTGTTTTAATCTGTATTCACTACAAATTTTTCAATAAAATTATCAATGTTTAAAAATATTGTGTCCATACTCACTGTTGGAAGAATCCATGTCACCCTATAAAATGACTTATTTTTTTATTGCATAAAATTGTTAAAATTTTAAAATGAAGCCTCTAATGTACTGGTTTAATTGGGCAGCGTCATGTTTCCTCAAAGAATCTAGACTTCGTTAACTCCCATGCCTTTTATTAATGTGTATCTCTTTAAATCACTTCTTGGATGCTTGCCACTGTACTGCAAAACAGCATATCAAAATTGACCCTTTTTAGCTACTCTTTGTTTCACTAGTGTTGCTCTGTTCACTGCTCAGCAGGAATCCAACAGACAGCAACAGGCACATGGTGAAGGCTTAATAGAGGGGTTCAGAGGGTGCAGTTGAGGATTAATATTCCTTATTAATAGTTTGCTTACATTAGCAACAACACCTATTATTTTTCATAGGATGTGGGTATTGATGACTTAGGCAACATTTATTGCTCATTCCTAATTGCCCTTCACCTGAAGAACTTGCTCACTAACTACCACTTTAGAAGGCAGTTAAGAGTCAACCACTTGTTGTGGGTCTGGAGTCACGTGTGGGTCAGACTTGGTAAGGATGGCAGAGTTCCTTCCCTAAAGGGTATTAATGAACCAGCTAGGATTTTACAACAATTATTGGTGCTTCTGTGGTCACCATCATTGGGACTAGCTTTACACCAGATTTTAGTTAATTGAATTTAAATTCTAACTATTAACATATTGTGATTTGATCCTGTGTCTTTAAAGTATGCGTCACTGGATTATTGTCCATGGATTATTATCACCATGTCATTGTCTCATTAGGTAAAACCTTTCAAATGCCCTTAACTACTTCAAAGTAGGAAAACTAGCCCCTTCAGGTTATTTCAAGTGAAGTATAACTGTTCCTTGTGCTTTCTGGAATTGAAGGTCAATTTTCCCAGTAGAGAGTGGAGAAATATAAAACAAAGCACCTACTTGTTTTGAATTTGCATATTGAGAACATTGTTATAAATATCAGTAATGCTTTGGATGATTTATCTATGGGAGGGTGCTCGTTTAAACATAGTAAAATATTAGTCATAGAAGGAAAATGCTAGGGACAGAATAAACTTTGTTTTAAAACAAACGGGTATGTCAGTCATAGTCAATTGAAAAGACTGTATCAGATTTCCTTCATCCGACTTAAAGGCGTAATGACAAGGATGAATGAAGGGAGGGGACAAAATGAGAAATATTTCAGTCACAGAAAGACTTAATAGATTCTATTAAGCAGTTTGCATGTTAATCAAACCAGAGGTCAATCCAGTAGGATTGTATCACAGATTTCATTTTGGATAAAGAGTATACATTAGAAGGTTTAACCTGAAAAGGGCTTGAAAAACTGGTGCAGTGCTAGTGTCCCTATCTCTTAAGAGCCAAGAGGCCTGGGTTCAAGTCCCACCAGCACCAGAGGTGTGTAATAACACCTCTGAACAGATAGGTTAGAAAATATGTGGACAAACTGGATGCAGGGATAATGTTTCTTTGGTAGCAGAGACATCCAGAACACTGGCTGATGATCTCAAGATACAGGGGAGGACATTTTGTATTAAGATGAGTCATTTCTTCACCCAGAGAGTGATGAATCTGTGGAGTTCTCTACCACGGAAGTCTGTATGGTGAAGTCGCTGAATATATTTAAGAAATAGATTTCTAGAGACTAAAGGCATCAAGGGTATGGGGAGAGAGCAGAAGTATGTTGTTCAGATAAAGGATCAGCCATAATTATATTGAATGTCGAGTCACTTATGGGCTGAATAGTCTACTTCTGCTTGTTTTCTGTGTTTCTATCTAAGTTAGTAATGATTAAAATGATGAGATGGATGCTCTATATTTTAAATAGCATCTGTCTATTTAGACATCATGTGCATTTAGTTGATCTGTTAGAGGTAATTGTCCTTGTACATTTGCACTGTAATCAGTAGATAGAAAAATGCTACACAGAAATTTATTGAGCATTAATGTTCAATTTTTTAAAATTAATATTCATGTTTGTGCATTTTGGATTATTATCTATAAACTAACAGTGGAAAAAGCAGATAATCTCAAATATATTTGGTCCAACAATTTTTGTATATCCACAATACTTTTTTGTAGAAGCATGGAATAATTATGGCACAGAGGAGGCCATTCAGCCAGTTGGGTCTATACTGTCCAGCTTTGGCTCATCTATTCTCACACTCCTGCTTTTTTTCAATGTAGACCTACAATTTTTTTTTCTCTTTCAGGGAGTTATCTAATTTGCTTTTGAGACCCATAATTGAACCTGCCCCAACTATAATCTTTAGCCATGCATTTCGGACCCTAACAACTCACTGAAAGAAAATATTTTACCTCATATGCATATACGGAATGGGCTGCCGGAGAAAGTAGTTGAGGCAGATACAATAGCAACATTTAAAAAACATTTGGATAGGTATATGGATGAGAAGGGTTCAGAGGGATATGGACCAAATCAATTGGAACTAGCTGGGTGGGCAGCATGGTCAGCCTGGACCAGTTTGGGCCAAAGGGCCTGTTTCCATGCTGTACTACTTTATGAGTCTATATCAATTAAATCAGTGCCTTCTGGTTCTTATCTCTCAATTACGGAGAATAGTTTCTTCCTGTCTACCTTTTCCAGACCCCTCATGATTTGGAATACTTCTATCAAATCTCCTTGTTATCCTAGGCCTAGCTTCTCCAAAATACCCATCCAACTTTAGCCCCTCATCCCTCGAACCACTTATGAATCTTTTCTGCGCCCTCTCTAATACCCATATATCATCCGCAAAGTGTGGTGTCCAGAACTGGATGCAGTACACCAGTTAGGCCCAAAACAGTTTCATCATAGGTAACAAGGTGTAGAGCTGGATGAACACAGCAGGCCAAGCAGCATTAGAGGAGCAGGAAAGCTGATGTTTCGGGCCTAGACCCTTTTTTTTTCCTGAAGAAGGGTCCAGACCCAAAATGTCAGCTTTCCTGCTCCTCTGATGCTACTTGGCCTGCTGTGTTCATCCAGCTGTACACCTTGTTATCTCAGATTCTTCAGCATCTGCAGTTCCTACTATCTCTGAAACAGGTTCATCATAGTTCCTTGCTTTTGTATTTTACATTGCTATTAGTAAAGCTTAGGAGTCTGTATGAGTTTATTAAAACACTTCCTCAACGTCCCCTCCCACCTTTAATAAATTGTGCTATTTACTCCTCCTCTGTACCAGTCCCCATTTTAGAATGTACATTTTGTTTTATATTACCTCTCCTAGTTTCTTCTTACCACAATGAATCACTTCACACTTCACATTCAACGAGTCATTTTAAATTTTAGAATCTGTAAGTTGATTGGAAATTAGTATCTCTATGTATCATCTGCATTTTTAAAAAAAATACATGGTCACAAATGTCAAAAGTTCTTTCATAAATAATGTCATAATTTCAAAGAAAATTGCATCTCAGTTTGAATTCAGTGTAAAAATGTCACTACATTGTGATCAATACTTATTTGGTTATAGCGTTTCTTACTATTCACTTGCTACTTGCAAAACACAATGAACCATTTATTTGCTGTTGAAATGTGATTCGTATGTTATATTTACTGCAAAATAATGTCATTCTTGAGGGGAAAAAAATCACCAATGACATTATCGAACTGGTGAAGGAGGAAAAAGGCCAAAACCCTTAACTCATCATTTTGGGCACATGAATAGAAATGAATAGAATGGCAATTAAGTAATTCAGACAATATCAGGAAATTTTGATCAGCCAATATATTGGCATCATGGTTGGCATAGAAATAGTGGGCTGAAGAGCCTGTTCCTGTGCTGTACTGTTCTATGTTCTAATCAGAATTTGTTTTATTTTTAATTCATTCATGGCATGAGGGCATCACTGGCTAGGCCAGCATTTATTACCCATCCCTGATTGCCCAGAGTGGGGTTAAGAGTCAACCACATTGCTGTGGGTCTGGAGTCACATGTAGAATAGACCAGGTAAGGATGGCAGATTCCTTCCCTAAAGGATATTAGGGAACCAGATGGGTTTTTCTGACAATCGACAATGGTCGTCATTAGATTCTTAATTCCAGATATTTTGTTGAATTTAAATTCCACATCTGCGTTTTGGATTTGAACCTAGGTCCCCCAAAATGTTACCTGGGTCTCTGGAGTAACAGTCCAATGATAATACCACTAGGCCATAGCCTCCTTGGTTGAGCATAAAAAATGACCACTTAATAATTTTGACTCTGGAAACAGCATCGCAGCTACCTGAATAAATCATCTGTGTTGTAACAGAGGTATATTCCAAGCTAACCAGTTGCTTTATTAAGATTGGAGAGTGAGTTGGTCTAGGCTGCGTACACCATCATCTAGATTCCCCCTTCTTGGAGGCGGTAGAGTTGTTTAGTCATTATGACCTATTGGAAAGGAGATCAGAATTGGTTTTGGAACTGCAAATGGTTTGCATCATCCACATAAAACGTGTGCATATAAGTCAACTTGTCTTTGTTTGGATCAAATTTAGTTGTTCCAGTAACAGGTTCAGCTAGGTGTGGGAATATGTATGTGACTGTATAGATATTTAACAGTGTGATATTGGGAAACTTTAAAAGCAGATGGAAGAAACTGAAGCATTGTAAATGTTGTAATGACTTGGAATTCATGATTATTGTACAAGGGAGTGGAACTCCAATTAGTCGATTTGGGTAACAATCCTTTGGAAGTAGTGATACAATATAAAATAAACGTTTTTCAATTTGAAAAATGTGCAGCTGGGAAGCTTAAATATCTTACTCTGCATTTCTTCATTCTCTGGGGACAATGTTCCTTGATAAAAAATAGACTGTCTCTAATTTTCTTACTTAACTGCAGTGTTTTTTTTTAAAAAACCTGTTTTACTTATTTATTTCCTTTTAATTTGTCTGTTACACCAGTGGTTATTAACTACTGAGGAAAAATAGTTTTCTTAAGGAAATTTATTACTTTGTTTTTATCTATTAATTTATTAAATGTGCTAACAATGAGAAATACCATCATTTGGAACATCTATCGTTTTGGACTTCTAAAATAGTGTGGAGAGGAATTTAGTTCAAGCAAATTGCGTTGGATCATCACAACAGTGGTGAAAAATCTCCTAGTGTCAAGACATAGCATGAGTTGCTGGGAGAGTAAACACTTCAATTCTTGCCCTATCTCTGTACCTGAATATGGAATTGCCCCAGAAGTAAAGCATTATAGTAGTGCAACTTGAAAGAGAGTCTTCAAGGGCTGCAGGACAGAAAAATAATTCTGTGAAAGAATACAGTATTATTGAAGTTTACCAATACAACTGCATCTGAAAGTTGTAATGGCTAAAATGTCAAAGTTTGCAGCAAAACTTGTAGTTCAAGAGCATCCTTGACCTAATAGAGTTCAAAGGTGCTTTAGATTTGAAAGAACTACCTGATAGTGGAATTGAGAGCCGGTCAAAAGAAAGATTGAAAAGTTTGGAACTCCCCTGCAAACAGCAATTGATGTTAGGTCAGTTTTAAATTAGGGATTGATCATTTGTTGAGCAAAACTATTCATAGATATTAGGCAAAAGCAGGTATGTGGTGGTAGGTCATATATCAACCATGATCTAAGAACAGGTTCAAGAGTTTATGCCGATTAACACAGCTCTGTATTCAAGTGGAGGTAACGGATCTAATGGATCTTTTGAAGAGTAAATAGTTCTCATCATCTAAACATTCCTCAACCAACACTACCAAGACAGATTCACTGACTTTATTTTCTGCAGATTGTGGGAACTTGTTTTAGTGCCATTTGGCTGCTGCTAATATTCACAACTGGGAGGCTGTGAAGCAATCTCAGAATTCCTGAGTACATGAAGTGATTTTCATTACTGAGACAGACAGTGGGTAATTTCTAAACATTGCTGTTACAGAGGAAAATACAGCTCTTCAATTGCCACAAAATGTGAATCCAAGCCTGACGTTTCCTCAAGCTTTCTACTTGGATAGCAGCTTGACATTGGCAAAATGAAAACAAATAGTACAAACTGACATGAGGAACTATGCCTACACCTCATTCAGGGTACAACTGGTTTGACTATTTCTTGTCATGGAGCAAAATCAAGCCTTGGTCCACAAGCTGCATGATCAGTATGGTTCTGAAATTCCAAGTGTTGCACCTACAGTTGTGATGGCTTGTTGAATCTCTGCGCCTATTTGCATGAGTGAGGTTTTCCAATGTGAAATCCTGGAAGAGGACCAATAGGTACGAATACAGTGCCATGAAAACCTCTGGGACTGTTCTTGTTGATCTCCTGCAACCTCTGAACTGAACATTAGTAAACCAGCTCCCAGCTTCTTTGATGTAGTTGCTCATTTAAGTTTTAAATTCAATTTTCTACTATCAGTTTTGTTGGATGTTTGCAAACAGGCTATTAATGTGTCACTGTTGTTTCTTAACATTGTACTTGTTTTATACATGTCTACTTTTTTTGAAAAGCTTCCTGAACAGGAAATACATTAGGCCACATACATCAAAGAACAAAGATGATATTTGTTAATAATCTTTTACATAATTATGTATAAATTGCATAAAATTATTTGTGCTCAAGCTCTTGTTATTTTAAAAAGTGCTTGATGAAGGCCTGTTTTCAACAATCTAATTGACAATACATAGTCATTCGGAGCTAATACAGTGAAGGTGATTACTAATTAAGGAAATCAGATTGAAAAGTCCAACAGATTGTCATACGTTCTGTACCATCGCTTAAAGGAATCAAGCTATAATCACTAGCCTTAGATTTATATATAGCTGTAGACAATGTCTGCCACAAGTAAGAAAAACTGTATTCAAAGAACTAATACTTACAATATTTATACAGAATTATGGAATTATTACAGCCCAGAAGGAGACCATTTGACCCATCATACTGTACTGGCTTCTGAATGTGCAGTTCATCTAATGACATTCCCTGTGTTTCTCCCTCTATTTCCAGAGCTGCAAAGCTCTGTTGCACATCACAACCTACTCCAAGAATTTGTATAATATCCAGTTTTGCGAGCTTTCAAGACGAAATGACAAGGGAATCCTTCTGATTAACAGCATCCGTACATTCTGAAGAGAAACATTTCCTTAAATGGAATCTCTCAATATACAAAACAGACTTTGCTATTTTTTCATCTTCAATATTAAATTTCACAATTGTCATTGACAGTCTTGATAAAGTGTAGCTGTGCAGTTCTGTAGTGCACTGTGGCTCAGCCTATATAAGTTACATTCCAATACTGTCATAATCCTGGCTTGGGTCCATTTTGCCTTTGAGTTGCTGAAGACCATAACCTTTCAATTAACTTCAATACCTCTGACGCAAAGAAAACTGAAGAGGCCAAGCCAGCCAAGAATAGCAAGTCTGTCAAGGAATAAATAATACAGCTATGTTTAGATTCAAGGCTAGCTGAATTGTTAAATTCAGAAAGTGATATTAGTGTTTCAATTTCAAAACATTCATTATTAGTGTATATAACTCACTCAGAGATAGTAAGAACTGCAGATGCTGGAGTCAGATATGTTTGATGTGAGATACTATATTCACAAACTGTTTGTAACAGTTCAGGATTTACAAATGATGCCATGACCGGATAAAAATACAGACTATTGACCTTTAAATTTAATTGACTACCTTAAAAGCCTTGGACTTTGGTTTGAGAGAAAACAATTAAAATGAGTTGAGATTATTATAATTGAGGCTGGAGGAGTGCAGTATTACTCTGGTCCCACTACTCTATGGGTCACAACTTAAGATGAAAATAAAAATTCTTTTTCTAATTACCAAGATGACCAATTAAATACCTAATCTATGTCAGACTTTAAGCAACAAAATCTGTTAACCAGGTTTCTTAATAAACACATTTTTATGGATTTATTATCAAAACAAAACACATTCAATTAGGATGCAATAACTGATTAACATACAGTCAGTAATACAGAAATATAAATGTATGCCAATGTGTATGCATCTGTGTGTTTCATGGAATTTGATTTTTTTTTTAAATTAAGTTAAATTCTTACTTGAGTAAATTTTCAATAAACTAACTTCTTAATTCAAAGGGATCTATCTGATTTTCTCTTCATAGCTGTACTGCATGATCAAGTAGATATGAAATTTGGAAAAACGACATCTGGTTAAACTCTGTTATGCCAACCTCAGTGCTGAAAATACAGGAATTTATTCACTCAGAGATAACAAGGTGTAGAGCTGGATGAACACAGCAGGCCAAGCAGCATCATAGGAGCAGGAAGGCTGACGTTTCGGGCTTAGACCCTTTATCAGAAATAGGGGAGCGGAAGGGAGTTCTGAAATAAATAGGGAGAGAGGGGGAGGCGGATAGAAGATGGATAGAGGAGAAGATAGGTGGAGAGGAAACAGACAGGTCAAAGAGGCGGGGATGGAGCCAGTAAAGGTGAGTGTAGGTGGGGAGGTAGGGAGGAGATAAGTCAGTCCAGGGAGGATGGACAGGTCAAGGGGGCAGGATGAAGTTAGTAGGTAGGAAATGGGGGTGCGGCTTGAAGTGGGAGGCGGGGATAGATGGGAGGAAGAACAGGTTAGGGAGGTGGGGAGGAGCTGGGCTGGTTTTGGGATGCGGTAGGGGGAGGGGAGATTTTGAAGCTTGTGAAATCCACATTGATACCATTGGGCTGCAGGGTTCCCAAGCGAAATATGAGGTGCTGTTCCTGCAACCTTCGGGTGGCATCGTTGTGGCACTGCAGGAGGCCCAGGATGGACATGTCGTCGGAGGAATGGGAGGGGGAGTTGTTTATTGCGAACCGAGCGTAGGTGTTCTGCAAAGCGGTCCCCAAGCCTCCGCTTGGTTTCCCCAATGTAGAGGAGGCCACAACGGGTACAGCAGATGCAGTATACCACATTAGCAGATGTGCAGGTGAACATCTGCTTGATGTGGAAAGTCTTCTTGGGACCTGAGATGGGGGTGAGGGAGGAGGTGTAGGGGCAGGTGTAGCACTTCCTGCGGTTGCAGGGAAAAGTGCCGGGTGTGGTGGGGCTGGAGGGGAGTGTGGAGCGGACAAGGGAGTCACGGAGAGAGTGGTCCCTCCGGAAAACAGATAAGGGTGGGGAGGGAAAAATGTCTTTGGTGGTGGGGTCGGATTGCAGGTGGCGGAAGTGCCGGAGGATGATGCGTTGGATCCGGAGGTTGGGGGGGTGGCACGTGAGGACGAGGGGGATTCCGTTTTGGTTGTTATTGTGGGGAGGGGGTGTGAGGGATGAGTTGTGGGAAATGCGGGAGACACGGTCGAGGGTGTTCTCGACCACTGAGCGGGGAAGTTGCGGTCCTTGAAAAACGAGGGCATCTAAGATGTACGGGAGTGGAATGCCTCATCCTGGGAGCAGATGCGGTGGAGGCGAAGGAATTGGGAATAGGGGATGGCATTTTTGCAGGAAGGTGGGTGGGAGGAGGTGTATTCTAGGTAGCTGTGGGAGTCAGTGGGCTTGAAATGGATATCATTTTCTAGGTGGTTGCCCGAGATGGAGACAGAGAGGTCCAGGAAGGTGAGAGAGGTGTTAGAGATGGTCCAGGTGAACTTAAGGTTGGGGTGGAAGGTGTTAGTGAAGTGGATGAACTGTTCGAGCTCCTCGTGGGAGCACGAGGCGGCGCCGATACAGTCATCAATGTAACGGAGGAAGAGGTGGGGTTTAGGGCCAGTGTAGGTACAGAAGAGGGATTGTTCCACGTAACCTACAAAGAGGCAGGCGTAGCTTGGGCCCATGTGGGTACCCATGGCTACCCCCTTTGCCTGTAGGAAGTGGGAGTGTTGTTATCTCGGATTTTCCAGTATCTGCAGTTCCTACTATCTCTGATACGAATTTATTCACTCATCCAGACTCGGTCATAACAGTGGAAACTACACAATGCTATCTGACCTCAAAAACTATTATTAAAGAACTTGTGAATATGTAGTATAAAAGGTTGGCATCCAAAAACTCTGTCAGTAAGAATTCTTCAATTACATACCAAGTGGTGTGAGGTTCTCAGTTTGGAAAATTTTCTGAAGAGGTGGGAAATAAATGACAGCCATTTGTCCCAGAAGTGAGCCAAGTACGGTATAGAGAAATACATGATTACGAAAAAGGCCAATTTGGAACACTGATTTAGTCTAGAAAAGAAGAAAAGGTGTAAAAGTTATCCTGAACCTTGATATAACATGGTTTAGACCAAAGTTGAAATGTAATGCCAGATCTTTGTCTCCCAATGCAAACATTGATATGGGTCGGGTTGCAAAACACAATTTTGTTTTGTTGGAAAAATAATTTTCCTCCTGCTTCCCGACAGCACATTTTCTTGTGATTGGTTTCTAAGACACAAGTACATGAATAAGAAATGTTTGGAGTGATATTAGCCAAATGGAGGCAGGTGGGACTAGTTTAGTTTGGGATTATGGTTGGCATGGACTGGTTGGACCAAAGGGTCAGCGTCCATGCTGTATAACTCTATGGTCGGGAATAGCAAGTGGAGTAAATTGCAAGTGCACCTCTTCAGAGGTAGGGGTCCCTATTTTGAGGCGCATGGTAAAATGATGTGTTCTGCCATACACAATTTTGCTGTGTTTCTGTGGCTTTTCAAAGTATGTGTAAATTGCACCTCCTTAGAGAGCTTGTGATTGCTGGGGAAGCCAGCTGGAAAGTTGGGAACATCCTGAACACTCTGCAGTCCAGGAAGTGGGTCACAGTCAGTTCTGTTGCTCCGTAATGGCCAGTCCAGGGGCTAGGGCTAACACAGTCAAGAGAGATGTCCAGGCATCAGTCAGGGTTTTGGGTACTTCTTGTCTGGAGCTGTCCAGTTGGGTCACTCAAGGGGTTTCACCCTGGTCAGTCTGTCAGCTCCACACAACCGAGGGTCAAGAGGTCTGGGCAGGGTGAGGGGAGGGCACTGCCGTGGGAAGGAGCCTTAGGCCTCTATCTGTGAGGACTGAGCTTGCAGGCTAGAGAAGAGGGAGTGACAACTGTGAAAGAGGGCAACTGTATTTATAAGGGGAAAAAGTAAAACATATTGGGAACGCCATAGCCTCAGATGAGGTGGTGGAAGGGGTGGAACAGTGTATGACCACACCTGGTACGGTCACCTCATATGCAGGGGCTGAGGCTGGGGCGAGGTGGGAAGGCTCTTGCAGATGACTTAAGTAGGGAGCTGGGTAGGTGTGAAGGATGGAGTTAGGGTTTTCACATGAATGGTTGTCAGGAAAGGGACCTGAATATTCAAAGTCTCCCTGAGTTGGAGGTTGGAAACCACTGCCTGGAGTGAGCTTGCTGTCGCCTTCAAAAACACACAAAGGGAAGGAAATGCCTGTGAATAATCCCAGAGTGTGTGCGTTAAGTGCCTTAACCCGCCTTAACCCACAGTGAAGGATGGACTGCCAGACCCACTGATGTGAGGCTGTTTACAGGGCAAGAATGTTGCACACAAACCAATGCACTGTACAGGTCACAGGCTTGCTGGCCCCTTAATCCTCAGCGATCCTAATGCATTGGTACCTTGTGTGCTGCACATTTCCCTGCCCCAGCCACTTCAATGACCACAGCTAGGAGGAGGAAGAGCTGGCCACCCTTGGAGACTTCTGAGAGAGATGAGTGTGATTCCTCCTTCAGCTTGATGCATCATGGCGCTGCCTTGTCTCCTTGTCATGATAGGGTACCTGGATTGAGTGCCAGGTTCCTGTCCTAATGATGCCATACATTTGCTCATGAGGACCAATGGCTGAGGAGATAGAGAGCAGGTCTGTGTGCATATCCAGCAGACCCTGAGTGTGTTGGGCAAGCTGTAGTTGGCAGCCACCAACCTGCCCATGGGGGCAGCCAAATGGTCACAGGTTTGAGGCAGCAGGGTCCTGTACTCCTGCAGTTTCTTGGCTTTGAGGGTGACTGCCTCTGACACAGCTAACTGCTGCTCCTGTGCCTCCCTGTGTATTTAGATAGAGTTCCTGATTGCTGACACCTATCCCGCCTGGAGCTGAGTGGCTTCCTGGTCTCCAGCAGGCCTCAAGGTGCCAGTGGCCTGTGGGATTTCCACCTCAGGCTGCTGCAGAGCTGTTGCAGTGAGGTGCTCACCAGACTGTGTGCTCTCAAACGTTCTAACCCTGATCTTCCCACCGAGGTGTCAGGATCTGAGCTGGTGTGGAAGATGCAGGAGGCTGCGTTGCTCATGCTTCCTCTGAATCTTCTGACTCATTTTCCTCCGAAGTGCCCCCAGTGGAGCAGCCCGGTTCTCAGCCAGAGTCATGACCATCCCGCTAGTACCTATAAGATACAAGGGAAAGAAGGTGTGATGGCCAATGGTTGGAAGTGGTGAACAATGAATGACACTGATGGTGGAGTTAATGTGAAGAGTTACAGTGGAATGAGACGCAGTACTCGCAGAGTGGGACATGAATCTCTTGACCTTCTGACAGGAGTGGTCCTGGTCCTCGCCTGACAGGGGACCGGATTCTCTCCTGACAGTGGGTGAGGAATCTGATGTCAGCACTTCCTCACCTAGCCTGGCTCCATTCCTCCCTGTGAAGGGCATTTTTTTTCTCCTGGAATGAGAAAAAAAGGGAAGGATTGAATGAGGTGAAAGTGGCTGGCATAGCTGTTAGTGCCAGTGCAGGTGAGGTATTCTTGGCAACTAAGCAAGCAGAGCAAGCTATCGAGGGTTAGTGGTGTGGAGGAATGAGGTAGGTGAGAGTGAGTGAGGCCAGATGTTGCAGGTAATAGTAATAGTGAGCTTTGGGTGCAGTTAGAGAGAGAGCTGAGTGTAAGGCAGCATGAAAAAAAGGAACAGGACTCACCCTAGTAGTGCGACCTTCTTACAACATTGCTGCCTCCAGACATTAGATTCAGCGTTAAGTCAGGTGGTGACCTCAGATTAGCCTGCCAGGCTCTGGTGGCCTGGCATCGACTGACAGTCCTTCTAGAAAGGGACTGTCTTCCTCTGGACCACCCTGTTTACCAAGACCTCCATGTGCCTGTCGGAGAATCGCAGCCATTATCCCCTTCTCAGTCATCTTCAGAAAGGCTGTCCTCCAACAAGCAGGGAAGCTTTGGAATGCCAGTGCTCATCCAAGGGCACACAGTGGTCTTTTGAAGTTAGTACCAGGGATGCCGCTTGTTCTGCAGCCACTTGGTGAATGATGAGTTCTTCCAGAAATAGCAAGAGGTAGGATGGAGCTGGAGTTGGCCGAGAGTGGCACTGCAGAGTGCAGTAGGTAGGTAATGAGGCACGTTTGCTTAGATGTGGCTAAGAAACTCTCTAGGCATCGCAGGGAGAAACTTTCCCCACTATAAACATGTTCAAGGTGATAGTGGGGGAGCATTTTAGTGATAGCAACCACAATGTAGTACGACTTATGTTTGGAAAGGAAATAGAAAAGGAAAACAGAAAGTCTGCTAAAAATGGTTTTGGACTGGGGAAGCAGATTTCATTAAAATGAGGCATGATCAGGCCAAACTAGACTCGAAACAGCTAGTGCTAGGTAAATCTACAACAGAATACTGGTGGGGATGGGGGGTTGGCATTCAAAATGCAATTAAGCCCAACATATTTCCTTTAGGGTGAAATATAGCAGAAATAAGCCCAAAGAACCCTAGATGTTTAGGAATATTCCGGGCTGGATAAGAAGAACTTAAAAGATTTGAAGGGAGCAAATCAATGGAGGTGCTGATGAAATATAGAAAATGCAGGGGGGATTTTAACAAAACAATTAGAAGCACAAAGAGTGGGTGTGAAAAAACACTGGCAGGTAAGATTAGGGAGAATCTTTATTCTATAAGTATTTCAAAGGGAAGCGAATAATCAGGGAAACAGTAGGGTGCATTAGGGACCAAGGGGGAATTCTGGATCTGGAGGACATTGGTAGGGTGTTAAAACAATTTCTTCACAACTGTCTGCACTGGGGAGGAGGATATTGGTACAGAATTCGGGAAAAGTGGCTGAGATTCCTGAGCAGATTGGACTGCAGAGGTACTGGAGGTTTCACTGGGCTTGAAAGTAGACAAATCCCAGATGAGATGTATCCCAGGCCAATGTGAGAGACAAGGGAGAAAATTACAGGATCCAAATATTTTATTCCTTTCTGGCAAGACGGGAGGTGCCAGAGAGCTCAAGTACATCAAATGTGGTTCTACTTTTCAAGAAGGGCAGTAGAGATAAACCAGGGAATTACAGACTAGTGAATCTCATCAGCATTAGAGAAACTATTGGGGAAAAATCTGAAGGAGAGAATTAATCTTCACATGCAAAGGCAAGATTTGATCAGGTATGGTGAACATATCTTTGTCAGAGGGAGGTCACACCTAACAAATCGGATTGAATTTTTGAGGAGGCTGCCAGGTGTGGAGATGAGGGTAGTGCAATTATGTAACTTATATGGATTTCAGCATAAGTGACACTCCAATAAAAAAAAATCTGATCAAGTCAAAATGATTTGACAAGGACTCTCATAGGAGACTGATAAAGCTGGTAAAAGTTCATGGAATCTATGGTAGTTTGGCAATTTGGATCCAAATTTGGTTGGACACGGAGGCTGGCAGCAGAAAGCTGTTGGTGGAACTACAGGCTGATGTCTACACGGACATACCACAGGGTTTGTTAATGTTTGTGATATACATAAATGATATAGATGATAATGTGGCAGGGCTGATAAGTAAGTTTGCAGATGGCATGAAGTTTGGCTGGCTGGTTTTTAGGGAAGAAGAAGGTCTTAGGTTACAAGTGGACACAGATGTATTGGTCAAATGGACAAATTAGTAGCACTGGAACTTAACCCTGACATGTGTAAGGTGATGCACTTTGGAAGAAGTATCAAGACACGGCATCATTCAATGAATATCAGGACACTAGGAAGCTCAGAGGAACAGAAGGATCTTGGGGTGCTTGTCCTGAGATCCATGAAGGCAACAGGACAGGTTAATACGGTAATTAAGAAGGCATATGGGACACTTTCCTTTATTAGTGATGACATAAATTATAAGAGCAGGAAGGTTATGTTAGAGCTGTACAGAACTTTGGTTTGGTCACAGCTGGAGTACTGTGTGCAGTTCTCGATACCTCACTATAGGAAGGATGTGAATGGAGTGGATGCAGTGCACAGGAGATTCACCAGGATGTTGCCTGGGATGGAGCATGTTAGCAATGAATAGGGGCTGGATGAGCTTGTTTCCTTTATGGCAGAGAAGGCTGAGAGGGACATGATTGAGGGGCATGGGCAGGGTGGGTAGGAAGCAGCTGCTCTCCTTGGTTGAAAAGTCAATAATGAAGGGTTATAATTTCACAGTGAAGGGCAGGAGGTTCGGAGGGGATTTGAGGGAAATTATTTTCACCTGCTAGGGTGGGAATCTGGAATGAACTGGGTAGGAGAGTCAACGAGGCTAGAAACCTCACAAACGTTAAAAAGTACTAGATGAGCCCTTGGAATGTCATAACGTTCAAGGCCAAAGACCAAATGCTGGAAAGTAGGATTAGTGTAGAGTGATGAACTGAAGGGTCTCTTCTATGCTGTATGAAACTTTACCAACAAAAAGTATGTTTCCGCTCTGTTTTATTGAGAACGATACAAGAAATTTCCCACAAGTAGATATCCAAGCAACTAGGGGGATTGAGGAGTTGAAGGGAATTAGTATTCATACGAAGATTGTACTGGAGCAATTAGTGGGTCTGAAAGTTGGTACATTCGGGAGACCTGATAAACTAAGAAGGGTCTAGGCCGGAAACGTCAGCCTTCCTGCTCCTCTGATGCTACTTGGCCTGCTGTGTTCATCCAGCTCGACACCTTGTTATCTCAGATTCTCCAGCATCTGCAGTTCCTACTATCTCTGAAACTACATCCCACAGTGTTCAAGAAGGTAGATTTTGAGATAGTCAATGCATTGGTTAGTCATAGAATCATAGAATCCCTACAGTGTGGAAACAGGCCTTTTGGCCCAACAAGTCCACACCGACCCTTGGAGCATCCCACCCAGACCCATCCCCCTAAAACCCACCTAATCTACACCTCGCAGAACACTATGGGCAATTTAGCATGGCCAATCCACCTAACCTGCACATCTTGGACTGTGGGAAGAAACCGGAGCACCCGGAGGAAACCCACGCAGACACTGGGAGAATGTGCAAACTCCTCACAGACAGTTGCCCGAGGCTGGAATCGAACCTGGATCCCTGGCACTGTGAGGCAGCAGTGCTAACCACCATGCCGCCCCCAAAATTGAGCATGGTGATCATCTTCCAAAATTTCATAGATGCTAGAATGATTCCTGCAGACTGGAAGCTAGTAAACGTCACTCTACAATTTACGAAAAGAGCAAGAGAGAAAACAGGGAACTATAGATATCTCTGCCGTACATCAGTATCAGAGAAGATAGTTGAATCTATTATAGAGGACAAGATAAGTGACACTCCAATAAAAAAAAAATGATCTGATCAGTCATAATCACAGGAGATTTGCAGAGCGAAAGTTGTGTTTGACAAACTTGAAGTTTTTTGAGGATTCTATTAACAAAAGTGATGGAGCAGTCGGTCAATGAATGTAGTATAGTTTGATTGTCAGAGACTTTTGATAACATCCCCCATAGGAGGCTGGCTAGCAAAATTATACCACATGGTTTTGGAGGTGATGTACTAGCGTGGATTAAGGATTGGCAGAAATCAGAGGAAATGAATAAATGAAACAAACACAGAAAATGCTGGGCAACACAGATGGTTTGAGCATCTTTGGAGAGAGAAACAGAGTTAATGTTTTGAGTCTGATATGTCTCATTTTCAGAACTGAAGCAAAACAGCAATCCTAGTTTTCTCCTTTGAGTGACAGGATTCTGTCCTCACAGTGGGTAAGGAGCCCCGTATTTTACTTTTATTTAGTAGGAATAAATGGATCATTCTCACAAACTCAGTCCATGACTAGTATCAGACATGCCAATACTTAGACTCCAGCTATTTGCAATATGCATACATGATAAATGTGGGAACCAAATGTAATATTTCCAAATTTGCAGCTGACACAAAACTAAGCAGGAATGTGACGTTCTGATGGACAGCCACATCGGATTCAAAACATTAACTCCCCACAGATGCTAGCAGACATGCTGAGTTTCTCCAGCACTGCGTATTTTGATTTCAGCTTTCCAGCATTCACAGTATTTTGCATTTATTAAAAATATGGTTTTAGTTTATATATGATTATGCAGTAGCTACATGCATAATATATAAATGTACTAACATATAAAAGATTACAAAGGCACAGAGATGTTTGTTATACCAGAGCATCCTTTTTGAGAAGATAAAATTTGAGCATATTTGGAAATACTGATCATTTTTGTCACATGCACCTAATCTCATGGTACTTCGAAACTATTGTGCTATAATTAACCACTTTAAAGTATTAATTAGAAAAGCCAGAGAGCTTCTCCCGTAAATTTTAATGCATTATAATGTTTCCTTTAAATTGAAACTAATTATTTTACCTTTAAGGCAGCAGGTAAGAACAGCATAGTTCAGAAGAAGACTGTGATATTTTTATTAGTGTTTGCACAATTCTCAAATGCGATAAATTGCTTGCAAGATAGAAACCCTAGAGGAAGGAATCTTCAAATTAAAAAAAAGTGAGAAATAGAAAATAAAAATCTTATCCTGCACCTTTAATTTGCAGTTTGTTTCAGTTCTTAAATTAACAGAGTCTCTTCACATTATGGCATCCTTAAAAATGTGAATAAAGTACATTTGTACCTGTGAGCGACAACTTAAAGCGTTGAACATATCAAAGAAGACAAAGCAGGTAAATGTCATGGTTGTGGTCCTTGAGGAAATTTTCCCCTCTGGAAGCTATTTTAAATAAAATGATAGATTTAAAGTTCTACAATCATAAGAAATATAAATATTGATAACTGTTACAGAAAAATCAATCATCTCTATCTTTCAGACAGTAGTATCTTTCAGAAATATAGAAGAGATTTTCAGACATTTAAAACAGGAAAAATAGATGTACACTAATAACCTGCATCTTCATATGTTATCACAAACTACCTTTTCACTAAAATTAACAAACACCAATAAAACATATTTGTGGACTACTTGTCTCGAACGAGAGGTCATTGTTTTAGGATAAGAGCTAGGAAATTTAAAATCGAGATGAGAAGAAGTCATTTCTCTCAAAGGGTCATGAATCTGTGGAATTCATTACCCAGAGTGTGGTAGATGCTGGGACATTGAGAAAATTTAAGGATGCTATAGACAGATTTTTAATTAGTGATGGATTGAAGGTTGATGGAGAGTGGGCAGGAGAGTGGAGTTGAGACTGAGATAAGATCAGCCATAATCAAATCAAATGGTAGAGCAGACTTGAGGGGCTGAACGGACTACTTCAGCTCCTCGTTCTTATGTGTGGCGCTTCAGCACTGCTTTGAGGATTACATTTATTAAACAACAAGTTTAGATTTATAAAACTAAGGCCTTTAAAAGTGTTTGCTGGAAACTGCTCCAAGAATGGACTGTGAAATTATTTCAGGGGTATTTTTGGAGCACCCAGATAAATGGGAATTACAAGCTGGTTCTGGCAAAATCAGCAGGAACATGTATTAACATAGAATCCTACTATTCATTGACAGATGTAAACACATTTCTCTCTGGAAGTCAGTACCACTACTTTGATTAATTTCTGAATTTCCAAATCAGTCAATGTTCCTTAAAATTGAATGATCAACTGTGTAGAAGTCATCTTTCCATATACTGATTAATTAATTAACAGTAATTAAAGGATAAAGAGCTATTTAGGTTTATAAATTATACAGACCTCTTTCCAGAATACGAAGAGGGTACCACTGATAATGATAATAGCTGAGAATAAGATTTTAACAATTAGGCCCTTATTCAGGATTGAATCTTTAACATCTCTTGGAGGCCGTTTAATGACATCCCCATCAACTGGCTCAACACCCAAGCTGTAGGAAGAAATTGGAAAATATCTAAAGTATCATCCAATCATCTAATCAATAGCTGAAAGTATTTAAACTTATGAGAGAATTACGAATTCATTTATCGGAATCATACTGCATTCTGAATATGTCTAGAACTGTGATAACAGCTAGAGAAATGAAACAAAAATGTGCTCTGATGCTTCAGATACAAGAGCTTTATTTTTATTCACTCGTGGGACATATGCATTGCTGGCTTGGACAGCAGTTTGTTATCCATCCCTAGTTGCCCTTGAGAAAGTGGTGCTGAGCTGAGCTGCTTTCTTGAAGCCCCACAGTTTATGTGCTGTAGGCAGACCCCCAATACTGTTCGGAAGGGAGTTCCAGGATTTTGACCCAACAACACTGAAAGTACAGTGATATAGTTCCAAATGAGGATGGCTTTCTGGAGGAATAACACTTCATATCTGCTTAGGCACTGAATAGCCTCTAGGACTCAATATTAAATTCCACAACCTCAACACGCATGCACACACATTCTCACACACATACGCATACACACTTACACACACGCACATACAAATTCTCCTTTTTACATCTTCATTGACACCAATTTTGAGTGGGCACCCTCCAATTGGTCCTTCTCCCTCCTGTGTCTACAGCATAAGAAAACTAACATTTTCTAACCCCTGAGATAACAAGGTGTAGAGCCTAGACCCAAAACGTCAGCCTTCCTGCTCCTACACCTTGTTATCTCAGATTCTCCAGCATCTGCAGTTCCTACTTTCTCTGATACATTTTCTAACCCCTTTTTTGTTTTGAAGAAGAGTCATACTGGAATTGAAACGTTAACTTTGTTTCTCTCTCCACGATAGTGCCAGACCTGATGAGTTTCTCCAGCACTTTCTGTTTGTATTTCAGTTTTCCAGCATCCACGGTATTTTGCTTTTATTTAGGTGACATTCCATCCTGGAGTCACATGTACAATCACACAAACCTGTGACTGTTCTCCTAACTAATGAATCCCCTATCACTACTGCTCATCCATTCTTCTTCCTCCCATCCTGTACAGTCAAGCCCCTGGCAGTATCACAAACCTGACTCAGACTGAACTCCCTTGAGGAACCAGTACCCCCACCAGTTTCCAAACCGGAAAACTGTGCGTTTCTCTTAGACTACGTCATGGTCAGCCACTGCCTTTTGGTTTCCAGACACTAAAGCTGTGGTGTGGCCTCTCTGTTATTTATCTTCCCCTCCAGCCTGATTAGTCCTCCAGCCTACAGCCTACTCACCACCCTGAACTGAATTTGTCTCCAGGTCAATATAAAGGTGCGATCCCATGAACATCCCACTGAGAACTGTTCCCCTTGAGGTGTGTTTTCAGAGCCAGAAACACTCCTGATTTCTGTTTTCCAAGGCCAGAGGGAAAAGTCATCTCTAAAATGTATCTGTAATCTCAACATCCAGCATAATACAATCATTCTGATCAGGAAGGCAGAGGAAGGTTTCAGTTAACTCAATGGAGCCTCAGTACTTGCGTAAAGGCGAGGAAAGGTCAACAATTTATGTGCAAATGGTGTCTGGTGACCCATGTTAGATGTATGTGTCAATCTGTGTGTGCACAAGTACATCTGGCGAGAGTGGTAGTTGCCCAACTATCATGCTCTTTTTTTCAAAGTGCCTCTGACACCATTCACCATAAAGACTCATGTGTTTCATTGCCTCATATCAACCAATGTACCCCAAAGGAACAGCTGCTTTCAGGTGAGGAAGTGTGGGGTATCAGAAATTGTTAAGAAAATCAATCAACCAGTCAAGGAAAACATGATGAATATGTCACCACGGTAAGTTGCTGAGCAGAGTGTGAAAGTGAAGTACTTTGCAGCACAGTTTAACACCTAACACTACACTTTGTAGATGCCACACTCGGTCGAATGTAGCCTTGATATCAAGGGCTGCCACTCTCACCTCACCTCTGGAATTCAGCTCTTTTGTCCATGTTTGAACCAAGGCTGTAATGAGATCAGGAGCTGAGTGACCCTGGTGGAACCCAAACTGGGCGTCGCTGAGAGGTTATGTCTGAGCAGGTGCTGCTTGATAGCACTGTTGATGATACCTTCCATCACTTTACCGATGATTGAGAGTAGCTGATGGGGCGGTAATTTGCCAAGTTGGATTTGTCCTGCTTTTTATGTACAAGACATACTTGGGGCAATTTTCCACATTGCCGGGTAGATACCAGTGTTGTAATTGTACTGGAACAGCTTGGCTAGGGGAGCGGCAAGTTCCGGAGCACAAGTCTTCAGTACTATTGCCAGGATACTGTCAGGGCCCATAGCCTTTGCAGTGTCCAGTGTCTCCAACCGTTTCTTAATATCACGTGGAGTGAATCGAATTGGCTGAAGACTGGTATCTGTAATGCTGGGGACCACTGGAGGAGGCCCAGATGGATCATACACTCGGCACTTCTGGCTGAAGATTGCTGTGAAAGCTTCAGCCTTAACTTTTGCACTGATGTGCTGGACTCTTCCATCATTGAGGATGGGGATATTTGTGGAGTCTCCTCCTCCAGTGAGTTGTTTAATTGTCCACCACCATTTGAGACTGGATGTGGTAGGACTGCAGAGCTTAGATCTGATCCTTTGGTTGTGGAATCACTTAGCTCTGTCTATCACTTGCTGCTTTCGCTGTTTGGCATGAGAGTAATCCTGTTTGGTGGCTTCACCAGGTTGGTACCTCATTTACAGGTATGCCTGGTGCTGCTCCTGGCATGGCCTCCTGCACTCTCCATTGAACCAGGGTTGATCCCCTGGCTTGATTGTAATGGTTGAGTGGGGGATATGCTGGGCCATGAGGTTACAGATTGTGCTGGAGTACAATTCTGCTGCTGTTGATGGCCCACAGTGCCTCCTGAATGCCCAGTCTTGAGTTGCTAGATCTGTACGAAGTCTGTCCCATTTAGCCTGGTGATGGTGCCACACAACATGATGGAGGTTGCTCTCAATGTGAAGGCAGGACTTCGTCTCCACAAGGGCCGTGCGATGGTCACTCTTACTGATACTGTCATGGACAGATGCAGCTGCAGCTGGCAGATTAGTAAGGATGAGGTCAAGTATGTTTTACCCTGTTGTTGGTTCCCTCACCACCTGCTGCAAACCCAGTCTAGCAGCTATGTCCTTTCGGATAAGGCCAGCCCAATCTGTAGTACTGCTGCTGAGCCACTCTTGGTGGTGGACATTGAAATCCCCCACCCAGAGTACATTTTGTGCCCTTGCCATCCTGAGTGCTTCCTCCAAGTGTTGTTCAACATGGAGGAGTACGGATTCATTAGCTGAGGGAGGACAGTATGTGGTAATCAGCAGGAGGTTTCCTTGTCCATGTTTAACCTGAAGCCATGAGACTTCAATGTTGAGGACTCCTAGAGCAACTCCCTCCCACCCGTATACCACTGTGCCGTCCCCTCTGCTGGGTCTGTCCTGCTGGTGGGACAGGACATATCCAGGGATGGTGACGGTGGTGTCTGGGGCATTGTTTGTAAGTTTCTGTGATTCTGTGAGTATGACTATGTCAGGCTGTTGCTTGACTAGTCTGTGAGACAGCTCTCCCAATTTTGGCGCTAACTCCCAGATGTTAGTGAGGAGGACTTTGCAGGGCTGTTTCTGCCGTTGTCTTTTCCGGTGCCTAGGTCGAAGCCAGGTGATCATCCAGTTTCATTTCTTTGAGGCTTTGTAGCGACTTCTACAACTGAGTGGCTTGCTAGACCATTTCAGAGGGCAATTGACAGTCAACCACATTGCTGTGGGTCTGGAGTCACATATAGGCCAGACCACGTGAGAGCAGCAGATTTCCTCCCCTGAAGGGGATTAGTGAACCAGATGGGCTTTTCCTGACAATTGGCATGATCTCATGGTGATCAGTAGATTCTTAATTCCAGAGTTTTTTTGAATTCCAATTCCACTGTCAGCCATGGTGGGATTCGAACCTGGGTCTCCAGAACATCAGCTGGGTTTCTGGATTAATAGTCTGGAGAAAGTACCACTGGGCCATCACCTACCCCTAATATTGGGTTCCAGCTTTTTATTTATACTTTATCCAGCTTCTTATTTATACTTTAATGTCTCAACAAAGTGAAAACTGCTTTGAACAATGCCATAGTGTAAATAATTCACACTACATATTGGGGTAAGGTATCTCATAGATCATTATCAAACAAAATGAGAAGATGCTAAGTTGTTTTAATGAAGATATTAAGACCTGAAGGTAAACAGGATTTTGAGTACTTCACTAAAAAGTAATAAAAACAGAGAACAGGTACAATTGCCAGAACAAAAACAAAGCAAAAAGAAACCACCACACATCATGATTCAAGTATGTATAACACATGCACGCAATCCTGCTATTGACAGAAAGGATGCACCATCCTATTTTAATGTAAACAAGGATACAACTAAAATTAGACTAAATGGTACAAAATGCAAATGGAAAAAACACGCTTGTAAATGGAAGTAAATTAGCATAATTCACCATTCAAATTTATATCAAGTAACAATAAGATTCTGGTTAAAATCATAGCCCCAACTGAACAATGTGACAAGAACACAGCATGAGCTTAATGGTTACAATTAAATAATTAACATTGAGTTGATACCTTTGAGCAGGGGGTCCATCCATAATGATGTTGATCCACAGAATCTGCATTGCATTTAATGGATTTGGTAGGTTAAATATAATAGAAAGAGCAATCAAGCTCAATGCTGAAATACTTCTGCATGTTTAAAAAGAATGAAGATAAATACAACAATTTACATATTTATATATATTCACCTGACTGATCTGTAATCTTTAGTGACAATTAGAATTCTTGACACAAGTAACTAAATTTATACTTACGTACTCAGCTGAAAGCGCACAAAATTTTTAATGTTGAAAAAAATTCCTTTGCCTTCCTCCATTGCACATCTGCAAAATAATGACATGGCAGGTAATTTAACTTCATGGAAATCATTAAATTATGCAAATTTCAATTTTTTTTTCTTCTGCTTGCATTTTTCTCATTTATCCTTCTTCAAGACAGAGACACATGGTTGAATACAGTTCTATGAAATATGGTAGAAACTCTCTTATATTATTATTATTGTATTAAACTTCCTAATGTTTTTTGGCTAAGTGCAAGTTTTGTTGAAATTTTTGGAAGAATTTTCACTGCAAGACTTAGTGTGTTCTCTTGCCATATCTAGCCGAACTTGCCTCTTTACCTACCTACCCCGCTCCTGGGTGTCTTTCACATCTGTTCCCAGCCCCATCTTACCAGGCGCTGTTCCTGGAATAACTCACCATTGCCAGGACATCCTGAAATTAACTGGCACCTTTGTTGCTATGTCATCTTTAGAAGAACGTTGTGTAACTGGGCAAGCAGCCCATAAGTGCCCTGCAACATCCCTGACACTTGCCCTGGAGATGGCAGATAGAGCGGGGTTGGCACTGTCTCTTGTCGGCGAGGACTTGGAGGTCCTGCTGGACGGCAGAGGTGGGACTCTCTCTTACCGTGGAACCAGCAGAGGTGGCCATGACACCAGACTATGTCAGTTTGGCCTGTGATTGCCGCCCATCTCAGCCATTTCGAGGAACACCCAGCAGAGTAGAAAGAGGGTCAATGACCTTCTCCGCTCCACCAGTGTGAATGCCACTATCTCTTCTTGGATGCCTCGCACTCACTCTATCTCTGCTACTGTTACCCATCTCCCATCAAGGCTCATGCTCTACGGCTATCATAATTGCCTGCAGCATCCTCCCTGGCTTGTTCTCACCCACCCCAAGCCCCTGACGTTGTTAACATTGTATGCCCTCTGAGATGCCTTTTCATTCGTTAGGGACACCTCCCCACCTGCACCAAAAGTAACAGCAATGCCACCATCTCTCATCTCTCTTCTTACCTGCTTTTCTCTTATTCCAGGAGGAAAATGGCCCATACTAGGGCAGAAAGAGTCAAGACAGGTGACAGGCTACCTGACATTCAGTTCCCAATCCCTTCCATGGAAAACAGCTCAACTCTGAATGCCCCAAAGGCAGGCTGACTGTGCCCAAGCTCCTGGACTGGTATTGGAGGCTGCCCTTGTATCACTGGGGCCAGAATGCCTTGATCGAAAGCTATCCCCCTTGACTTAACTGAAGCCTATAACTGTGACAAGCTTCCTTGCTTTGGAGTCTGTGCTAATTGACAAGGCAGGAAAGAAGTGGTAAGAATCTGGTAGCTCTCATTGATGGTGCAAAGCTGAAAAACGTAAGGCAGGGATACTGTGAGCATCCAGCTAGGTTCAGAGTGAATGAGTGTTGACAGCAAATGAAGAGTGTGGAGATACATCCTGGTCCAGTCCATGAGTTGGCTGCTTTTCCCTGACAGCACAGTGTCCTGGCAGCAGCATTACAATGATAGTTGTTAGTGCAGCTTATGAGCAGTGTTGAAGTGCAGATGAGCACTGAAGGTGGATCAGCAAAGTGCCATGACAGTTCAAAGAGGCTGGCACATATCAGACTCCAAAGTCTGTAGACATGGGGTATGTGCGTGTTGCCGGTTCCCATGGAGTGCGCCCTGAGACATTGCTACCCGGTGTCCAACATGGAAGTCCTTCAGAGCAAATGATCTGGTTTATTTTATTACTGTCACATATACCTAGGTGCAGTGAAAAGTTTTGTTTTGTCTGCAGTACAGGCAGATCATACCATACAAAGTGCATTTGGGTGATAGAACAGGGCAAGGAATACAATGTTACGGTTGCAGAGAAGGCGCATTTAGAGTGAGATGAACATTAAACTTGAAATTTGAGAGGTCCAATCAGAAGTCTAATAACAGCGGGGAACAAGCGGTACTTGAACAAAAACAGAAGTTGCTGGAAAAGCTCAGCAGGTCTGGCAGCATGTGTGAAGAAAAAAATCAGAATTAACATTTCCAGTCTGGTGGCCCTTCCTGGTGACCCTTCCTCTGAACGGTTCTGAGGAAGGGTCACCGGACCCGAAACGTTAACTCTGATTTTTTCTTCACAGATGCTACCAGACCTGCTGAGCTTTTCCAGCAACTTCTGTTTTTGTTCCTGATTTACAGCATCCACAGTTCTTTCGGTTTTTATTAAGCTGTTGAATCTGTTGGTACATGTATTTAAGCTTCCGTCTGCCCGACGGGAGAGGTTGGAAGAGATTATAACTAAAGTGGGAGGGGTCTTTGCTGATGTCGGCTACCTTACCGAGGCAATGAGAAGTATAGATGGAGTCAATGGATGAAAGGTTGGCTTGTGTGATGGACTGTGCTGTGTTCACAACCTTCTATAGTTTCTTACAGTCCTGAGCAGAGCAGTTGCCATACCAAGCTGTGATGCATCCAGGTAGAATGCTTTCTATGGTGCATCTATAAAAATTGATAAGAATCTTTATAGACATGCTGAATTTCCTTAGCTTCCTGAGGAAGTGTTTTCTTGACCATGACATCAATGTGGGTCAACCAGGACAGATCGTTGGTGATGGTCACTCTGAGGAACTCGACACTCTCAGCCATCACCTCTTCAGCTCCATGGATGTAGATAGGGCTGTGCCCTCTACCTTGCTTCCTGAAGTCAATGACCAGTTCTTTCGTTTTGCTGATGTTGAGGGACAGATTGTTATTTTTACACCAAGCATTCTATCTCTTTCCTGTATTCTGTCTCATCGTTGTTTGAGATCCAACCTACAATGGGGGTGTCATCAGCAAACTTACAGATGGAGTTAGGACAAAATTTGGCCACACAGTCATGAGTGTACAGGGAGTATTGTAAGGCACTGAGTACACAGACTTGCAGGTGCAAGTTTTGAGGATTGTCATTGAGAAGGTGTTGTCGCCTATTCTTACAGATTGCAGTCCATGGGTCAGGAAGTAGAGGATCCAGTTGCAGAGGGCAGAGGAGATACCTAAGTCTCTGAGTTTGGAGACTAGTTTGGATGAAGTTAGTATTGAAGGCAGAGCTGTAGTCAATGAGTAGGAGCCTGACAGAGGTATCCTTGCTTACCAGATGTTCCAGGGATGAGTGTAGGGCCAGGGAGATGGTGTCTGCCATGGACCTGTTGTGATGGTAGGTGAATTGCAAGGGATCAAGGCAGGCTGGGAGGCTAGAATTGCTATGAGCCATGACTAACCTCTTGAAGCACTTCATAATTATGGAGATCAGAGCTACAGGGCAGTAGTCATTGAGGCAAACTGCAAGTGTTTTCTTTGATACTGGAATGATGGTGGGCTTCCTGAAGCAAATGGGACTTCAGATTGTAGTAGAGAGAGGTTAAAGATGTTAAATACCCCTATCAGTTGGTAAGCACAGGGTCTGAATGCATGGCCGGGGACTCCATCTGGGCCAGTCATTTCTGTGGGTTCATTCTCAAAAAGGCTGATCTGCAGTGGTGACGGAGGGAACAAGTGTAGCAGGGGCTATCGGGACAGGCGACACCGTTGCACTGACCATTTGTTCGAACTGAGCATAAAAGTGCATTGGGCACATCAGGCAGGAATGCATTTTTGTCCACTATTCTGATCTGCTTCACTTTGTTGCCCATTATGGCATGTAGGCCTTGCCACAAACCGCGGATGTCCATGTGGTTAGTTTGGGTTTCTAGCTTAGTCTGGTATTGCCTCTTGACATCTCTAATGACCTCATAGAGGTGATATCTGGATTTCCTGTAAAGGTCAGGGTCGTCTGACTTGAACGTAATACACCTGGACTTCAGTAGGCAATGGATCTCCCGCTTCATCCATGGGTTTCCAGTTGGGGAACAATGGCATTGACTTCTTTGGCACACAGTCTTCTACACACTTGCTAATGAAGTCTGTAACGGTAGTGCCATACTCATCTAGGTTGGCTGCTGAGTTCTTAAATATGTTCTAAATATGCCCATTCTAGGCAGTCCTGTCGAAGCTCTTCCGCTGCCTCAGACCAGCACTGTACTACTTTCTGTACTGAGTCCTCATGTTTCAATTTCTGCTTGTAAGCCAAATGACAAGCTGACATTGCCAGGTACCTTGTCTGATTTCCACACTAGGTTATCTCGACCTCTAGCTTGTTGGCATGTTTGGTAAGATCAGAGGCTGAATATTAATAAGGCAAGTGGTGCCATTAACAAGGCATTTAACAAGCAATAATCACCCTTAATTGGCAACTTACTGTTGGCCAGTCAAGGACCTCACCTCACCACTTGTTAAAAACATAAAAGATGCAGCGAGATGCTCTCCTCCCCAAGATAGGCCTCTCCCAACTTTTCATTTGATTCTGCCACCAATCTCGCCACAGCTCATCTTGTCCCCCATAAGATCCTGCACTACATCCTAGTGGCCAGTGTTCATATGTGACTGTGGGCAGTGTACATCACAAGCTAATTGACTGTACAACCATTACAGCAGAATCTGGTTCAAAGATTGTGCAATTTTAACTTTACCAAAATTGTAAGTAGTTTTTCTTGTACACTTACATTAAATAAAGTACCCATAAGTAAGTCCAGATGTGAACTGTTCATGTTAAACAATGAATTTTGGAAGGTCAAGTACAGGTGGAAATTATACAGAGAATGCCAGAACCCTTAGGAGTATTGATATGCTGAGGAATCTGGGTGTGCAGGTCCACAGATCACTGAAGGTGGTAGTGTAGGTAGATAAGGTAGTAAAACAGGCCTATGGCATGCTTGCCTTCATTGGAAGGGACATGGAGTATAAGGACAGACAAGTTATGCTGCGGGTTTATAGAACTTTAGTTAGGTCACACTTGAAATATTGCATACAGTTCTGGTTACCACACTACCAAAAGGATGTGGATGCTTTGGAGAGGGTACAGAAAAGGTCTACCAGGATGTTGCCTGGTGTGGAGGATTTTGGCTATGAAGAATTGTTGGATAGACTGTGTTTGTTTTCACTGGAATGCAGGAAGTTGAGGGACGACCGAATAGCAGTTTATAAGATCATGAATGGCGTGGATAGAATGGAAGGTATGAGGCTTTTTCCCCAGGGTGGGGGTGTTAAATGCTAGGGGACATAGTTTCAAGGTGCAAGGGAGAAGTTTAAAAGAGATGTGAATGGCAAGTTTTTCACACAAAGGGTGGTGAGTACCTGGAACACGCTGCCAGAGGAGGTGGTGGAAGCAAACACAATAGCAGCGTTCAAGAAGCACCTGGACAAGTACATAAATAGGATAGAAATAGGGGGATACGGATCCTGTAAGTGAAGACAGTTTTAGTACGGAAGGGCAAAATGTGCCGGCGTAGGAATGGAGGGCCAAAGGGCCTGTTTCTGTGCTGTATTGTTCTTCGTACTTTGTTCTAAGTCAGCTTTTGTAATGTATTATAGGTAACTTACTGTCTAAAGAACAAATTCTTAAATGGCATCAATTGAAGTTACTCACAAAATAGATGAAAAGTTATCATCCACCAGAATCATGCCTGCTGCTTCTTTACTGACATCAGTCCCTGTTCCTTTCATGGCAATTCCAATATCAGCAGATTTGAGAGCAACAGCATCATTCACACCATCTCCAGTCATTCCCACCACTGCACTGTTGCTCTGAAGTGCCTAGGCATCAACAATTAAAGGAAGTATATAACTGTACAGTTTGTAGTTAATATAACATTTAAACTAAATTTATTACTGCTTAAATTAGCTGTCAGGCATCTAAAACAACTTCCATTTACAATTACATCATCTTTACACAAATGTAGTAAATATATGGATAACACCAAACCAGAAGGGATTAATACATTACCAATTTATTGTGCAAGTTTGAAAAAAAATTAATACCTTAACTATTTTCTGCTTGTGCTTTGGACTTGTTCTGAAGAATAAGGCCACCTGATCAGTGGGGCGGTGGGGTGGTGGTTGTGGGGTTGTGGGGTTTGGGGGTTGGGGGTTGAGAAACAGGAGAGAAGAGGGAGAAAGTGTACAATCATTATATGGATACCTTGTTACATTAAAACGCTGCTCTGTGGAGCATTTGCTATTCTAATTTTAAAAATATAATAAAGACATGACTGCAATATCTCTAAATAGCTACATTTTTATGTTAAACATTCAAAAATATACAACTTTCAGGTGGTTGAATAAATATATTAAAGAGGAACTTATAAATACACATTTGGAAAGTGTCTTTCAGTTCATATACACATGCGAAATTTAATGTGTGCTTTGAATAACTGGATTGGAGTCATACCTTCATTACCATGAGAGAAAGATCCTCATCTTTTACTTGGTCCAGCTGCTCCCCTGACATAACCTCCATATCATCAGTATAAAGGTCTATGCTTTTTCCTGAATGTACATATACATTTGAAAAAGATTACTTACTACCATACAACCTATTTATGCTTTGTACCTTAGATCATTTTATTTGAAATTGTTAACAAAAATTTTTTTGTTTGTAATTGATTACCTAAGAATAGCCTTTTAATTGTGTTCTAAGAATACAAACACACCCACTCAATGGAAATAAAACAATGAAACACAAAGTCACATACAGTGACATATTCCCAATAGCAGGTGTCCCAATAGAGAAATAGAAGCCAGTAGATCAGTGCGCTCACATACCCTTGTCATTGCTGCTACTCATGTTAGGAATAAAAATCAGACAGCAATATGATTGTTATTTATTACTATTGAAAGTATGTCCAATGGGTCATTCATTACAAAAGGCCCAGGAATGGAATAGATTCATAAGTTACCAGAACATGAGCCAAGGACTATAGAATGTCATTCACTCCACAAAAGCTTCTGTCTCAAAATCTGAAACTCCCCATCGTAGCATTAAATTACATTTTGAATAACCCAAGCAGCTGCCTATATTGCCTTGTCTGATTAATTTTTCTTAATGCCAGTTTTTAATCATTTATTGGTCTTTTCAGATTACAGACAAAAAATACTGATATAGATATGCGCGGAACACTAGATTATTTAGTAACTACAAAACTGATTTCATATATTAATAAGCAAAGTATGATTAAGCATAAATTGTAAGGCTCTACTGCTGGCATCGACCTTTGATAGCTGGTGTGGCAAACACAATTGGGGTTACAGTGAAATCCAATTTCTGGCCTTGTAATGTTCAAATTTGACAGATGTTGTTTTCATGCACAGCTATTTAGAACTGTCAATTTTGGGGAAGATTATGCATAATCTCAGTAACTAATCTACAGCATAATCAGTCCTTCATATTTTTCTTCTCAATTTTAAAAAGTAGACAATCGATTTCAGGTTGACATTTTTTTCTCAAGCTCCCATGCACAATAGAACTTGTGTTTGTGCAGGGATTGCAATGATCAGCTGTGTCCTAAAGTTAGATGCTATATTGTCAGGCATGCTGCAATACTAAACTATAGGCTGGTGCTATGAATGGCCAGAGAAAACATCAGATACAGCAACAGACAAACATCCCTTGAATTGACTCGTTGTCTTTAAAATCGTCTTGTCTACAATATTATCTTTTCCACCTAGAATTGGGTGAATCATTACATAAATAGAATTTGGCATGAAAATTGTTAATCATTTAGGATTCTGTCTGGAATTAGATCCCAAAATAAACTAAAGACAAAAAAATTATTGCTTAAAATAATGAATGCCAAAATTCACAGCACCTATAGAAATAGCCGTCTCCTTAGAGTCTCCAGTGATCATCTTTACAGCGATGCCTGAACTTTGAAGCATTTGAACTGCTCCCTTGACTTCAGTTCTTGGTGGATCAATGATGCCAATCAATCCCAAGAAAGTAAGTGCACCTAATTCACACCCAGCAGCTAGTGTGAGCACTGAGTAAAAAAAAAGAAAGAAAACCTCATTGAAACTAATTTTGTCTTTATTGAACAGGTATTATATATAATCAACTTGAATTTGGAGCCAATAGATATTGAGATCACGTGCAGGCTACCTTTGAAACCTTCAATTTACTGGAACAATCTAGGACTTGGAACCAGACTTTTGCAATGACAGAATGTTTTTCCTTTGCGGCAAAATGTCAGAATATTTTGGAAATCCAAAGTCACCCCAAACTTGGCATTCCCATTTTCCTGGAGACGGGAAATGGGGTGGTCCGTAGTTTGGGCAAGCACATTTTAAGGAGGCAGTTTCCATTTAAATGATGGGCAGCCTCCACTCAGATTTGACCTTGGAATCCCTGGAGTCTGGAACTCGGACTGTGGGGATTACAGCAGGTGAGAGCGGGCCTGTTCTCTTTTTTTTTGGATTACCAGGGTATCCCTTTGGAGAGCTGAGCTACCCCTATGGCTATGGTTCCAGGACTCCTTATGGTTCGGGTCAGGGATAATTTGGGGAGGGGTGTTGTTCAGGTGCCATTTAGAACTGTCAATTTTGGAGAAGATTATGCATAATCTCAGTGGAACTGTTCAATCTCTTTTAAGGAAGAGATTGCTTTTCTCAAATCGGTGTAGTCTGTAATGGACACGGTTAAATAATGTGACTTTTTTTTCTCTCGTTGCAATGGTACTTGTGGTACTTGACATGGAGGTATGAGGGATCATGGGGTATGGTTAGAAGGCCTTAAATGGAATAGGTTGGCATGGGAGTGAGGGAGAGTGATGGAGGTATGAAGGGCGAAGACTGTAAGAATGTTTTACATTTTATTCTGTTATTTTAAATTTTGGATGTAGTGCTGGAGCCCTAGGGTAACTTTCCACTCAGCTCACCTCAACTCCTCTCAGGTTTCCCAGCCTAAATTCCCAATCCACGTTCCAGACTGTAAATGGAGAGTGTAGAAAACCCAGGTGGTTTGTGAAGCTAGGATTTCCTTTGCCTATCCCTGCCTGACCAAAGAACAATAATTCAGTGCCTTGATGTTGACCCATATTTTGGAAAGGGTTGTATTTAATGACATGGGTTGTATTTAATAATAGTGTATAGTTGGATAGTAGCCAGACTACTCATGATTTCTCCATACAATCACCCTCTTGCCCCAAATAACAAAGGTGATTGGAGACCAACCAACCAAACCCAACTGGTATTAACAAATTGGCAGTGCACTTCCTTCTATCAGTGGGAGGAAATCCCACCCTTCCCAAGTGCTAGATAACCTGGTTGGTCAGCATGTTTGCAGTCCCAGCAGCGCCAGAATGTAGTAGTAGGCACAGCTGGAACTGCAGGCTGGCCTACTAGAAGGAAGGATCCCATACCAAGGCAAATTAAGGATATTGGGCTGGGATGGATTGGGCAATTTTACTGATGGAATAGGGTGAGTGTGGTGAGTTGGTGCACTACAGGTAGGGACAAAGGAATTCAGGGATGGAGGTGAGGCAGTTAAACCCAATCTGCAAATGGTAATCCTTGAAGGTGGTGGCCCTGCCCCTTCCTCAGAGCTCACTTCTTGCCGGATCTTTTAAAAACACTTGAAAACAAAACAAGCTGCCCAACCCCTGCTCATGCTTACTGTATTATGTTATGGGCAGGATAATACTGGGCTCTGATGAATGCCAAACAAACTCACTCTCTGAATGAGTTGCAAACTCAATGGACACTTTGTTCACTCACATATGGATGGCAGTCGCCAATTTTGGCACCCCTACCACCCCCTTTACCCATTATCAAGATGTGCTCACCGGGACAACATATTTTATACACTCCACCCCTGCCCTGCTTTAAGGACACCCCAGTGGGGGCATATATTAACCTTTTGTACAATGGAGGGCACCTCTATGACAAAATGATCTGGTGCAACTATTATGTTACCAATTAATATTCAATAGTTATCCATTTACCATTATATATATTACAATGAGCTAAAAAGATATCAAATACACACACGTTTTCACAAGACAATTAATTGTTTATGAAATTTAAGACAGAACACAAGATCATACCACGCAGACCCTCTGCTCCTAGCTTTGCTTGTTGTTGGACGTATATTGTCTTTTGTTGTGGTGTGAGGGGCACAGGCATGCCACCATTGCTATAATTGCTGCAGTACTGAATAACTCCTTCATACGCACCCTTCATGAAGTAAATTTCTTCAGTTTCCTTTAAATGGCACATAAAAACAGTTAGTGCTGCCTTAGAGACAGAGACAAACCGCAGAAAATATCTTTCAAGTTCCCAAACAAAACAGTCCCTACCCGACTCTTGTAGACACATTTAACAGCCATCCATTTCTGTTCTGAGCTAAATGGATATTCTTTCTTCCTTGTATAGCTCTGCTTAACATGATCAAGGTCCATCTTCAATTCAGAATGCGAGACATTAGATTTTAAAGCAGAAGGTTGTTCAATAATTTAATCAAGTCACCTCTTACTTTTCCTTCAGACCTATTTGTACTGAATCACATATATATTTGAGTTAAAACTATACTTGCACAATAACATTAAAAAAGATTATTAAGGTGGTCCTTCATGGGTAAATGACTATCTTATATCTTCTAATTAAGGGGGTGACAACAGCCTAGTGGTATTATTGCTGGACTGTTAATCCAGAGACCCAGATAACACTCTGGGGACCCTGATTCGAATCCTGTCGTAGCAGATGGTGGAATTTGAATCCAATAAAAATATCTGGAATTAAGAATCTGATGATGAACACGACTCCATTGCTGATTGTCAGAAAAGCCCATCTGGTTCACTAATGTCCTTTAGGAAAGGAAACTGCCATCCTTACCTGGTCTGGCCTATATATGATTCCAGACCCACAGAATTGTGGTTGATTCTAAACTGCCTTCTGGGCAATTAGGGATGGGCAATAAATGCTGCCTTGCCAGCAATGCCCTCATCCCATTAATGAATAAAAAAAATTAAGCTCCTATACTTTGATAGCCTATTCAACAGGAAATTTCCCTGCCATCCTGTCAGCCAATTAGTGGTCTGAGAGAGGTGAAAAAATCCGTGTCACAAGTATATAGCTGGGGAATGAAATACGTGTAATGAGGAAGGTAGAGGTTGCGATAGAGCTGGAATGAGCCGCATGTAGTATGGTGCACTTCCTGGCTGAGACACAACAATGTCTCCTCCTTATACTTGCCAGGTTTCACAATGCAGTGGAAACTTTAACAATATGGGTCCAAAAACACAAGCTTATTAGCGAATGGAAGCACATTGCTACCTTAAAGAGCTGTCATCACTGGCCTCCTTCTTAAGAGCACATTGCTTGGGTGTTTCACCTCATTTCAGTTCCACTAAAATGGTAAAAAGGTAATTCATGACAATTTCTTATGTCACTGACTGTGATTGAATAATTAAGTTGTATTGTAAACATTCATCTCTTCAGGTGAGATTCACATCATGCAACTGAAATTTAAAAATAAATTGGATGCCTTCTCCTCATGACATTTTCAACATTTTAAGATAATTTAGCTGTAGTTTAATACTAACTTGTGGCTAATGCTCTATTTACCATCTGCTTCAAATATCCAAATGTATTTTTTCAGTAATTACCTTCATTGCAAGAGCAATTAAGGCACCTTCTGTTGGTTGTCCCATTAACGTGTCTTCTCTGATGACAGCATTATTGCATAAACATCCAGCCTATGAGTAAGCAAATTTTAAACATGAGGCCCCACCAGCAATCTTTGCAGTACCTCACCAGTAACAAATTAACCCATTAATTCTTACTTTGTTGCTTTCTGTTCCTATTCTTTCCTCTAGCCATGACAATGGATTATCCCTAACCACAGGAACCTTACCTGGTGTAATATCTTTTATGTCTGGCACCTTATCAAATACCTTTTGAAAATCCACTGTGTTCTCCTTTATCCATCTTGATAGGGACATATTCAGGAAGTTCTAATGGATTTATCAAGATTTAGTGTCATTGATTTTTTTAATATTGCTCTTTATTAATATTAGTTACATTAAATTCCTCACTTTTATCAGACCCTTAGTTCCACATTGTTTGGGTCATTTTGGGTCTGTAGGTTGTTTGGCTGCACAGTCATAGAGTCATACAGCAAGGAAATAGGCCCTTTGGCCCAACTTGAGCATGTCAACCAGATTTCCTAAACAAACTAGTTCCATTCCCCTGCGTTTGACACAGATCCCTCTAAATCTTTCCTATCCATCTACCTGCCCATACTAAATTGCCCTGTAGTGTCCAGGAATGTGCAGATTATGAGGATTAGCCATAGTAAATGTGGGGTCATGGGAATAGGCTGGGGTGGTGGTCTGTGTGGCATGCTCTTCAGCGGGGTCAGTGCAGACTCTATGGGCTGAATGGCCACTTTCTGCACTGTAAGGATTCTATGATTTTGCATCTTCTACTGTGAAAACAGAGAGAAAATATTTTGATTTTTACCCATTACAATTCTTCCCATCTAATCTCCAAAGGGCCCATGTTTACTTTTGTTACTCTATTTCTTTTTGCACACTTTTAATATATTTTCTACACTTCTGTTTCGTTTACCTCCATTCCAGTTTATCCCTCTTTATTTTCATTTGGCCATCCTTGACTAATTTTCGAACTTGTTCAATTCCATGGCTACAACTCTATTAAGTGGTCCTCATTAATAATTTGCTCATTGATGCACAGTTTGGGTTCCATCAGTGCCACTTGGCATGAGATCTTGTTACAGCCTCTCTCCAAAAATGGTCACAAGAGCTGAGTGTCAGAGGCGACTGGAGATTGACTGTCCTTGATATCAAAGCAGAAATTGTGGTAATATCTTGTGATCTTTATAAATGACTTGGATGAGGAAGTGGAAGGGTGGGTTAGTAAGTTTGCCGATGACACAAAGGTTGGTGGAGATGTGGACAGCATGTAGATTGCAACAGGACATTGACAGGATGCAGAGCTGGGCAAAGAAGTGACAGACGGAATTCAACCCAGAAAAGTGTGAAGTGATTCATTTTGGAAGGTCAAATTTGAATGCAGAATGCAGGGTTAATGGCAGGATTCTTGGCAGTGTGGAGGAACTGAGGGATCTAGGGGACAACATCCATAGATCCCTCAAAGTTGCTACTCAAGTTAATAGGGTTGTAAAAAAGGCATATGGTGTGTTGGCTTTCATTGGCAGTGGAATTGAGTTTAAGAGCCGTGAGGTTATGCTGCAGCTCTATAAAACCCTGGTTAGACCACACTTGGAATATTGTGTTCAATTCACTTGGATAGCAGCAGTTCAAGAAGAACACCCAACACCACCACCTTTTGAAGGCCAACTCGGTGTGGACAATAAATACCAGTGACAGCCACATTCAGGGAATGAACTAAAAAGTAACTCACTTCAACCAGTTTTCCTACAGATAGATTGGAGAATGCCTTTACTATTTCTCCATTGGACGACAAGTGTACATTGCCATTTCCATTATATCCTGTACCAGTTACCTGCAACAAATAAAAATGCAATTTTAATTCACAAGTCCAAAATGCAAATAAATTAGATTTGGCCATTATTCAAATGGTTATATTTCAGTCTGCTAGCCAACTCTCTTTCAATAAGAGCTAATGAATACTTTTAGATAGCTTGAGAATGAGCCAATGAATTCTCTTTCTGACTAGCCTTCAACAAGCAGCTCATCTGACCATGGCACCAATGAATGTAACCCAAATTCTCCATGCGATAATGTTCCCATACATTAGCTTCCATTGCAAGCTGACCATCACAGATCTCTTGGATGTAATACTGTGGTCAAAGCTATTGTAAAACAAATATTCCAAAAATGTTTTTTAAAACGATCCAAGATTGCAGACAAAAATTGGCTGATCACGCTTTGAGTAGTGACTCTCCTGTGTGTCTGTGCCTGCTGGAGTGATCCTAATCAATGCTACCCCATTAGTAGACCATGGCTGATGGAAGGCTGCAGACTTCCATGATGGGGGGACCTTGAAAGATGATCTCAAGTAGTTTTGACACTGGAAAGCTCATTTTCAGATTAAACCATTTTGAATGGGAGGTATCAGTCTGGACCAGACAACAGCAAGGGTGCTGATGGAATTGAAAAGTTGAATAGAAGAATTCGCTCATTCTGAAAGAAGACAGCAGGTTCATGTTCTAAAGAACTAATGCTATTCCTCTCAGGCAGCACGTCACCAATCCTAGTCACGTAAATGAAGGACACATTGCTAGACTGCTAAGACACCCTCAAGCCACTTTGGACTTTGATATCTATAACCACAATGGTAGAGATTCAGCTTGCATACCTTCAGTCTGAGATTCCATTACAGCACACTGACACTACAGCTTCTGCTTGAGCTGCAGTTGAAGCTGAAATATTGTCCATCAAATGCTACATGATAGTTGGGTCCACAGTGAGGGAATGGAGTTGAAATGTATGGGCTCTAAGCTCTGCATACAGCTTTTTGGCTGGTGATGCAGTTGGCAGTGCATGGCATTTAAAGATGTAATCAGTGATCCTGAGCACTCGTGTGAGTCTACTAAACTTGTTCTAGTACTTCATCCAAGCCCTTGGCATTAAGTGGTGCCGTTGACTATTATGGCAACTGTGAGTGGTATGGCTATCTGGTCCACTGCCTTTTCAGTGTTTGTTTGAAGGTTTCTGAATCCCCTGTAAATAAAAAGTCTATTTCCTCCTCTATCCATTCTGTTTCAAGGTCTTGAAGGAACTTGGAGCATGCATGACTGGCTGTTTGCAGGTCAAACACACCTTTACAATGATTTCCAGAACTTATTCTAGTCACAATGCACCTCTGTCCTGCTGAACTGCAGGCTGATTTTAAATAATGCAGTGCTGCTTTAAGTTAATGCAGTACTGACTGCAGGTTACAATCGCTTCAATGAGCAGACAGCACAGCAGTTTCAAATTAATTGCATTGAAAGGAATGAGTGTGAGTTAATCATGCACTGCGACCCTTACACCCATTAACAGGGGCTGTTTTAATTTGTCCTCCAAAATTTGGTACATGGATAAATTGTGATGAAGGAACGATAAAAACCTTTATCAAGTTGAGAATGCAAGATACTACATTGCTCACCTCTGCATGTATTCCATCTGATGTAACCAATCGTGTTACAGTCATTTCATTAGCTGTTAGGGTGCCAGTCTTATCAGAACAAATAACGTTACAGCAACCTAGAATTTAATAAGTGTAACTAATAATTAAATTGCATTTTGCCAAAAATTATATTCAAGAATTGATTAAGAAGCTAACTTATTAAGACAGGATTCTATTTCTATCTTGGCCATTTACGTATGAGAAGGTTTGTACAAATCAAACTGCAAGAAAAGTGGAAATTTAATTTACATTTTTCTTGAGCAATGCAAATATATTAAAGGCATTTGTTTTTAAACTGACTGCCTCTGCTGCATCGTGCCTAATAGTTCCTCCAAATGATGATTTATTTGGGTGTAAAACAAATCGAGTTATTCAGAGAAAAATAGTCATGATATTAAGTTTAAGCTGAGTGACTTAAAAAATTGGAGAAAATAAACTCATTCTGATGACTTACCTAATGTTTCTACAACAGGGAGTTTCTTTATTATGACTTTCTTCTTTGACATTCTAATTACACCGAGTGCTAATGTTACCGTGACAACAATTGGTAGGCCTTCTGGAATAGCTGCGACTGCCAGGCTATTAATAAAAACAAGAAGCCATGTTACAGCCAAGACTGATCCTGTCCATACCCAAAGTGCATACATGCATTTTATGGTGAGGTATCATCGGATAGCAAACAGAACGACAGAAAATGGTGGAAACAAGGTGTAGTGGTTGGAACAAGGTCAGCCTGGTGGGCCTCATAGAATGTGAGTTTCTTGATTGGGGCTGTTAATCTGGTCCAATCAGGAAGCCCTGGCTGACAGATATAAACAGGAGTGTCAGAGCTTCTGTTCAGTCTAGGAGCTGGCTGGGTCAGTGTCATGGACTTTGCACATGTAGATAAAAAGGGTGATTTGGCAACAGGATACTGGCCTTTATGGAATTAACAAGAGAAAGCAATTGACCAACAAGTCATCCACTCTTGTTTTTGTTTGCATGATTTGAGCAATACCAACTGAGGTTATGATTATTTCATTTTTTTATTCATTCTTTATTCACAGGAGGAGGGTGTTGCTGGCTAAGTTAGCATTTATTGCCCATCCCACTGTCAATGGTGGGTCTGGAGTTTCACATGTAGGCCAGACCAGGTAAGGATGACAGTTTCCCGTCCCTGAAGGACATTAGTGGACCAATTGGATTTTTCCTCAACAATTAACTTCATGGTCATCATTAGACTCTTAATTCTAGATGTTTACTGAATTCAGATTCTACCATTTGCTGTGGTGGGATTTGAACTTGGGTTCCCCAGAACATTATCTGTGTTTCTGGATTAGCACTCCAATGATCTTACCACTAAGCCACTGAACTTAAGTTGCTTTACAATGTGTTTTGTGGATATAGTATCACTCTTTGGGTACCTAGTGTGGGTGGCAAGATCCTTTTCTCAAAAATGGCTGGTAAATAGGTAGTGTTTTTGTGATTTCAGCAGCTTTCATATTAATTCCCTCTCTTATTTCAACTCACGAATGACCAGATTTATTAACTTCACTTTGATTGTTTTCCCAAGTGTAGATGATTTATTTGAAATTTAATCTGTCTCCTCCTTATTTTGAAAATTTCTGTCCAGTTTATTTAAAAAATCCTCCTTTGCAAAAGAGGAGAATTAGAACAATTTTAATCTTTCCACAATCCACTTTGTTTCGCCTTGCTGTCTCCCAGCAATTTTTTTCTTCTTGTGGTAAAATACCACGTGTGTTACACAACACAATACTGAAACACGTGCACTCCTTTAAAATGACAATTTCTATTTCTGCTGATACAACTCTGTCTTTCTTCCTTGCAAATATATTCCTACATAACAGTCACTCTTAGTGAGAAGGGAAAGATTTAAAAAGGACCTATGGGCAACTTTTTCATGCAGAGGGTGATGCATGAGCTGTGAGAGGAGGTGGTGGAGGCTGGGACAATTACAACATTTAAGAGGCATCCAGATGGATTCATAAATAGGAAGCATTTAGAGGGATATGGGCCAAATGCTGGCATATGGGACTAAATTAATTTAGGATATCTGGTCAGCATGACTGAATTGGACCAAAGGGTGTGTTTTCGTGTTGTACATCTCTATGACTCTATCGTTCTTTCATCTATTATGAATCCTTAAGTAATCACATATTCCACATTCCACAAGTAAGGTAAGGAAAGAACATCACCCTTCATGGAATTGAGCACACATTTCCAGCTGAGCCTTATTTGTGTTTTGTTGCTAGGTAACATTGGATAAAGAAAGTAACCCCAAGGTCCTGACCAGGGCACTTTTTCGGGAGAATTCAAGATCATGGATTTGACCTCTGACCAATTTGTAGCCATCTCTCATCGCAGTTATTTACAAAACCAGTGAAACCATAAGAAAACTCCTTGTTTTACTTTTAAATGACTTGAATCTCATCAAACGTAAAAAAAAAACACATTAAAAATGAGAGACAACAAGGTGCAGGGCTGGATGAACACAACAGGCCAAGCAGCATCATAGGAGCAGAAAGGCTGATGTTTCGGGCCGAGACCCTTCATCAGAAAAGGGGGAGGGGAAGGGGGTTCCGAAATAAATAGGGAGAGAGGGGGAGGCGGATAGAAGATGGATATAGGAGAGGATAGGTGGAGAGGAAACAAACAGGTCAACGAGGTGGGGATGGAGCCAGTAAAGGGGAGTGTAGGTAGGGAGTTAGGGAGTTAGGGAGGGGATAGGTCAGTCCAGGGAGGACGGACAGGTCACGGGGGCGGGATGAGGTTAGTCGGTAGGAGATGGGGGTGTGGCTTGAGATGGGAGGAGGGGATAGGTGGGAGGAAGAATAGGTTAGGGAGGCGGGGACGAGCTGGACTGGTTTTGGGATGCGGTAGGGGGAGGGGAGATTTTGAAGCTTGTGAAATCCACATTGATACCATTGGGCTGCAGGGTTCCCAAGCAGAATATGAGTTGCTGTTCCTGCAACCTTTGGGTGGCATCGTTGTGGCACTGCAGGAGGCCCAGGATGGACATGTCGTCTGAGGAATGGGAGGGGGAGTTGAAATGGTTCGTGACTAGGAGGTGCAGTTGTTTATTGCGAACCGAGCGTAGGTGTTCTGCAAAGCGGTCCCCGAGCCTCCGCTTGGTTTCCCCGATGTAGAGGAGGCCACAACGGGTACAGCGGGTGCAGTATACCACATTGGCAGATGTGCAGGTGAACATCTGCTTGATGTGGAAAGTCTTCTTGGGGCCTGGTATGGGGGCAGGTGTAGCACTTCCTGCGGTTGCAGGGAAAAGTGCCGGGTGTGGTGGGGCTGGAGGGGAGTGTGGAGCAGACAAAGGAGTCACGGAGAGAGTGGTCCCTCCGGAAAGCAGATAAGGGTGGGGAGGGAAAGATGTCTTTGGTGGTGGGGTCGGATTGCAGATGGCGGAAGTGTCGGAGGATGATGCGTTGGATCCGGAGGTTGGTGGGGTGGTACATGAGGACGAGGGGGATTCTTTTTTGGTTCTTACTGCGTGGACGGGGTGTGAGGGATGAGTTGCGGGAGATGTGGGAGACATGGTTGAGGGCGTTCTCGACCACTGATGGGGGGAAGTTATGGTCCTTGAAAAACGAGGACAACTGAGACGTATGGGAGTGGAATGCCTCATCCTGGGAGCAGATGCGGCGGAGGCGAAGGAGTTGGGAATAGGGGATAGCATTTTTGCAGGAAGGTGGGTGGGAGGAGGAGTATTCTAGGTAGCTGTGGGAGTCGGTGGATTTGAAATGAATATCGGTTTCTAGGTGGTTGCCCGATATGGAGACAGAGAGGTCCAGGAAGGGGAGAGAGTCAACCGTGTCTCCCACATCTCCCGCAATTCATCCCTCACACCCCGTCCACGCAATAAGAACCAAAAAAGAATCCCCCTCGTCCTCACGTACCACCCCACCAACTTCCGGATCCAACGCATCATCCTCCGACACTTCCACCATCTGCAATCCGACCCCACCACCAAAGACATCTTTCCCTCCCCACCCTTATCTGCTTTCCGGAGGGACCACTCTCTCCGTGACTCCTTTGTCCGCTCCACACTCCCCTCCAGCCCCACCACACCCGGCACTTTTCCCTGCAACCGCAGGAAGTGCTACACCTGCCCCCATACCTCCTCCCTCACCCCCATCCCAGGCCCCAAGAAGACTTTCCACATCAAGCAGATGTTCACCTGCACATCTGCCAATGAGGTATACTGCATCCGCTGTACCCGGTGTGGCCTCCTCTACATCAGGGAAACCAAGCGGAGGCTCGGGGACCGCTTTGCAGAACACCTACGCTCGGTTCGCAATAAACAAT